CTTTTAGCTCCTTTCTGCTAATGCAGGTTACTGCAAAATGCATTTTATTGGGACAATGAGTGGTGCCCATTTCTCTCAGAGCACAAGCTGAGTCTGTAGGGCTAACATAAGAAACAAACAAACACAGCTCTGTTGCTAGAAGGCAAAGGTGGTTTGAAATCTAAATTTGCAAAGCGTAAAGGAATGAAATGTTTTAAATTTGGGAAGGGGATAATTATATTTTTTCAAGTAACTATACTGTAAATCCTTGAGAACAGACTCAAGGCAAGATTGAATTGTGGTTGACACAGCCTATTAATCATGTGTGGCTTTGGTTCGGCGTAACCTTAATAATTATGTAACAGTATTTATAATTTGCAACAGGGGGGAGGTTAGTTGCTATTCAGTAAATCGAAGTTAGTCACTAAAACCACCCCCCTGTGCTGAACCTTTAAATCATCCTCAGTATGCGTAATGTAGAAATAGCTCTAATGCTGCTGGGATTTATGCCTTTGTCTTGAATATAAAATGACCATTACTTTACTTCCTTAGATGTTTGATGAAAATAAATTGACCATTAACCTACTGCTGTTTACAGTTAGACCTTCTGGGGAATGATTATTATGAAAACTCAGACCTCAGGAGGCAAGGTCATTATTTGTATGTTAGTCTGTTTCAATGCAAGCTTCACCTCGCAGGCTCAGTAGCTATTCCCATTCCAACTGGCAGGAGTAGGACTGGATTTTGCAGTGTAACTGTTGTGCAACTTTGCACAGCAAATCCTAAATCAAGGCCCAGGTAATTGCCACAAGGACATAAGGACAACCTGCTTGGGTCAGGCTTGCAACCTGTTCTCACTGTGACCAACCAGATGCCTATGGGAAGCCCACAAGCAAAGGCTTAAATGCAACAACACTCTCCACTCCTGCAATGCTCAGCAACTGGTATTCAGAATCATACTGTTTCTGACAGAAGAGGTAGAACATAGGCATCTTCCACGATTTTGCTTGATCTCCATTTAAAGCCATTCAAGTTGTTTGCTGACCAGGGCCAAGTTTCAATTTCAAGGGCAAAGAAGCAGATTTCCAAATGATAAGAGTTCTTAACACTGTGGAGCAGACTGCTTTGAGAAGTGGTGAGCTCTACTTTGCTGGAGGTGTTTAAACAAAGGATGGACATCTGCCTGAGTCAAATTTCAGCGGGAAGATGGCTGCCTGTTGTGAATGCTGCAGTTGATTTCTGCCTTGCAGATCAAGACTTGAGTGGGGATCTGCCTTGTATATCAAGACTTGGGCTCTATGATCTTCAGATCCCTTGTAGCTCTGTGGATTGCATCAAATTAAGTTTCGCTCAAAGTAGATCCGTTAAAATAAATGGACCCAAGTCACGGCCATTCATTTCAATGGGTCTGCCCTGAGTATGATTAACAGTGTGCAATCCTGTGACACTATGGAATCCTCTGTGTAACTGCCCTGCAAAGGAATAGCAGGATGACAATCTGAAGAAAAGCATTGCTCCGATTCAGCAGTAAACAGCAGGTTTTCCTGAGGAAAGTGGTGGGACACAAACAAACAAACACTTGGACCCGAGCCTACAAATCATGGACCTGCTAGATATTGTGGCACAAATGGAAGTATGGGTGAACCCTTGGTTGGGCAATATTAGCTTAGATGGTTGGTTGCCCTGGTTACCTTAGATTTAGAAATAAATGGTTTCCATTGCAATAACCCTGAACCACATTTCACCTTGTCTGATTCAAGGTAAGGCAGTTTCATACACTGATCCCTGCAGTGTTGGGTTACTAGCATTGCTAGGCTTGAGAAGTACAGAACAAGAACATAATAACTGCATTCTCCAACAACAACAAAAGTACCAGGGTCGTCAGTTGGAATCAAATCATCTGAAATCTAGGTGGTTACATCCCAACTTTGGAAAAGAATCTCATAAAAGTGCCATGGTATCAAGGGTTTAAAGTTGCAGGCTTGCCCACATCAGTTGACACCGTGTTCCTTTGTCAGATGAGCTGTGATCCACTTTAAAATGAAGTCTTAACTGAGCTGCACCCATTAAAAAGGACAAATAACAAACATTGGATAGGTTAGGCCTCGTCTTTGAAATGAAAGAGATGGATAGGCATGATTGCATATGCAGAGTTTACATCCGAGGCTAACACTACTGTATCAGATAACACACATGATTTGCAGAATAAGTTAACAAAGGGAAAACTGAATATAACTGAACATAACCAAAACATAGGCATAAGTCTAGATCTTGTGGATAAAAGTGCAGTGAAAATATGTGTATGCCACATGTACACACATGGGTTGCAGAATAAGTTAACTAAGGGAAAACAAGACCTATACTGTATAAATAATGTGTAAAGTGTAAGGAGGAAAAAAACACTTTCCGTTGTTTTATTAACACATTTCCCCCACAAGTTCACAGTGAAAATAAGTTACAGCTGCACTTAACAAGTTAGGATGTGATTTTACCAGTTCTCATATCGGCAAATTAATAGTTGGTAGACGTACAAAAATACCCAGGAAGATGGGACAACATGAAGTAAAAGCAGATAACTGTTCCTCAGCTTCAAAACACAAAACATGGTGAATACACATTTATAAAGGCCCCTCAAAATGTATTTTGTGTAAGATCCTGAAGACAACTTCAAAGAAGAAGGAAATATCCTCAATATCTGTCAAGCAATCTCCACTGGGACTATTCAGCAGAAAGGGAATTATTTGTATATATTAATCCTGTTCACTGCAATCTTCATTTTGTAGGCCCAGTCAAAAATAGGCAGGAGTTGAAATGGCCTGGTGCAGTGCAGTGTAGTCCATATGGGCCTCTGCATATTAAGGGGCGTAGCTAAGTGGTAGAGCACATGCTTTGCATTGGGGAAATACCAGAGACTAGCATCTCACTGATTTAATACTATGACCACAGTAAAAGACAGCTTCTTATATCCTGCCTTTCTTCATCATGGAACCCAAAGCAATAGACAGGTGTTCTCAGGTCACATTTCCAGGTACTGACCAGATTCTGCCCTGCTTGGTTTCAGCAAGGTGATAAGTGTCATGGATCTTCAGACCAGGACTCACAACACAAACACCTTGGAAGAAGGAAGTCCTTTCATCTTCGTTTGGCATTGTAGATGACATTGTAGAATGACCATAAAGGTAAAGGGATCCCTGACCATTCGGTCCAGTTGTGACCGACTCTGGGGTTGCAGCGCTCATCTCACTTTATTGGCCGAGGGAGCTGGCGTACAGCTTCCGGGTCATGTGGCCAGCATGACTAAGCTGCTTCTGGCGAACCAGAGCAGCGCATGGAAATGCCGTTTACCTTCCCGCTGGAGTGGTACCTATTTATCTACTTGAACTTTGAGGTGCTTTCAAACTGCTAGGTTGGCAGGAGCAAGGACCGTACAACGGGAGCTCACCCCGTCACGGGGATTCAAACCGACCTTCTGATCGGCAAGTCCTAGGCTCTGTGGTTTAACCCACAGCGCCACCCGCGTCCCCAAGAAGAACCATAGGTAATAGGTACATGTTATTATTTATATCTCACTATGGGTATAGGGGGTGTGAGGGGAGGGCTAGTATCTTTGGTGAGAGACATGTCATACTCCTCCTGGGTGAGAGTAGGTGATGGGTCTCAAATCCTTGATGAGTTAAGGACTTCCCTTGTATGAAAATACAGGCTCTGCAGGATTGAGCAGACGAGACTAATAGCGAGTTAAATGGTCAAGAAGGTGGTTTCTGCAAGTGCTGTAGTGGGAAGTGAGGGGCAGATGGGGCTCATCAACCTGGGAAGGTAGCCCATCCAAGAGAGTGAACACTTTGACCCTGAACCTCCACTGCCTTGCAGGATATTTTCGGGAGAAGAAAACCCTACACAAATCTGGAGCGGAGTCCTTAAGATGGCTGGGTGGCGCCTTGTACACCTCCTTCTAGCAACTTATGTGGCCAAGCTGGTGCCAAATATATTGCTCCACATTAGAAAGGCTGGGGGGGGGGGTGTCCTTTTCTAGGAAGCCCAGGACCTACATATACATTGCCCAGGCTTGTGCCCTGCAAAGGTCACTTTGGTGCTGCAAACACAACGGTTTGAGCTCATTCCTGGAGGCGCACTCTATTGCCTCTCGAGACAGACATATGCCAACAATGTGGGATGTATTGCTAGAGCAGTCAAGTACAACATTTTCCTGTTGCCTAGAATGGACACACAGGAGAATGCGGCTCCAGACAGGGAGGACTTCCTGTCATCCCTGCTCTCGTATGTATGTGACCAGGTAGATGAGCATAACCCTAGCTGACCCTGTAAAAGGGCTGGCCATGCAGCCATTTTCCCTTTTTTCTTTTCAGACTTCTCTCTTGGACTTCCTCTTCCAGCTCTTAGCCAGCATGTGGCTCATCCTTGCAGAAGATGGAAGCCACAGGTAGAAAGTCTGAGGCGTAGCTCAGACTTCTTTTCTCTACAAATGTAACTGTAACCACAGGATAAAGCCTGCCTTCTGATTACTGCTGTGAACTGAATGTGAGTAAAACTTCATTGTTATTTTCAAAAAGACTGTGTTGTGTTATTGTTATTTTAGAGGGAAATAAAGAGGACATTTACCAGGAACAATCCAGACTGGACAAGCTAGACTGGATTGCTTAATTAAAAGACTCCAACGAGTCATCAACTGCTTCACTATAAGCTGCAAGGGAATGTGCTCTGCTGTTTGCTCACTAGCGTGAGTGAGGAGGGATAACATCAAAAGAATATATTCTCTCCTACCTTCCTTTACATTCCCACAAACAACATTTCCCACCCTTCCTCCCGAAGAAGCCCAGGAGGCAGTGTTCTTATTTTGTATTTTTATGTTGTGAACCGTCCTGTAATCTTTGGATAAAGTGTGGTATACAAATTTAATAAATAATAATAATCACGCAAGTATTCCCTTTCAATTCACTTGGGAGTTCCTGGCAAATCCCTTCATAAAATTAATAAAATTATTGAAAAGTTCATAGTGGAAGAATGGATAGCAACAATACCAATTTATTTGTAGTCTTCTTTAAGAAAAATAAATAAAGCAAATAATATGCAGCAGGTGACAGAGAAAGGTCCTTGTTCAGTAGTGAGTGTTGAGTCTGCTCCTGCACATCACGAATCTCTGAATGAAGGTCAACAAACCAGGGTTATCTCCCTCAGCAGATCACCGTGCTTTGAATATGGAGGCCAGTCCATAAAGCTGATCAGCCCTCATCAGATAAAGTAACGTTGACTTACTACATTTCCAGAACTGATCATATAGAAGAGCTGTTAAGATTGCTACATATAAACAAAAACAAAACCCACCCACAAATTAAGGTTTCCAGTGTTAAAATAACGCTTCTGGTCTAGAGACCTTCAGGTGCAAGAACGTGTGTGGCATTTGTTTGATTTGTAGACTTCTCCTCCTTATGAGATGGTATTTCCCAATATTGCAACCGTGGCTTACATTCTTTCAACTAAGAAGAGAATAGAAACTGAATCACAATCGGAGGTAACGTAATCACTTCATTCACTTGTACTAGAAGAAGAAAAAGAGAGAAGGGGAAAAAGCATGCAATGTTCCAGGTCTGCAAAACCCAAGGCAGCACATAATTGCAGTTTCTAATATGCGTGTCGTGGGCATTCAAGCAGGGGCGAAAGTGAGCGCTCCTCTCGAATGCCCACGAGCAGGACTGAGTCAAGAACAGCCCAGTTCACAGAAAGCAGGACCTGTGCTCACCTTAAGCTCTGCAAGTGCCACCTTCCCATAAGGCCCTTGAACTCTCCTTGGGGAGGAGCAGAAGGCAGCAGTGGACGCTTACCTGGCCTTAACACATGAGATCGTAACACATGAGAGTGTGTGCAGATGGGAAACAGACTGCCAGGGAAAGGGGAGTGGCCCTTGCTTAAAATTCCTGGGCCTTGGGCAGGGGGGGAAAGGAGGCAGGGGCAGTGGAGGATGCTTTGTAAGCACACTTCAAACTTTTTGGATGTGGTCACCTAAAAAAAGACATTGCAAAACACCGGCTGTGTGGAACCATGTCCAGCCTGCCTCATACTGTGTTGTGCCCCCTAATTTTATCCCCCTCTCCAAGCAAGGATTTCATGTTTTAAGGAAATAATGCACACATTTACTGAACGTTTCAGTATGCCTGCCCTTATGGAAATACAGTGGTACCTCAGGTTAAGTACTTAATTCGTTCCGGAGGTCCGTTCTTAACCTGAAACTGTTCTTAACCTGAAGCACCATTTTAGCTAATGGGGCCTCCTGCTGCCGCCGCGCCGCCGGAGCACGATTTCTGTTCTCATCCTGAAGCAAAGTTCTTAACCCAAGATACTATTTCTGGGTTAGCGGAGTCTGTAACCTGAAGTGTCTGTAACCCGAGGTACCACTGTAAATGGGAAATGTTTTATTTGCAGATCATCATGCTTAGTAAGCAGGCCAGGATTTAACTACCTTCCAGTTCATTAGGACTGAGTTCCTTATGCTTAGGCAGGCTCCCCCTCATCCCCTCTCTCCTTCCTCAACCCCTGTGGAAACGTATCTGCTCACACCACTCCCTGCTCCCTCCGGGATTTCAGGAAACTGCCTTAATGCTGAGTGAGGATGCTGGTCCATCTAGCCCAGCATTTTCACCATTTTCACTGACTTGGGTTTCAAGCCGAGGTCTCTCCCAGCCCTACCTGGAGACGCCAGGTATTGAACCTGAAGCCTCCTGCGTACAAGACAGGTGGTTTACCAACAGGCTATGGACCTTTGCTTTTGTTTGATTGGTTGGGAGGAAGCAGGAGCCTCTCCAGAAGCCCCAGCTTTATGTTGGGCAGCTGGTCCAGAAAGAAGCTATGGCTGGGTTTCTCACAAGCCGCTTTTATTGCTGCGTCTGGGCGATTCCCACCTTTGTACTGAAGTCCCTTCAAAACAGCACAGTTTACTCTGGAGTGTACAGTGGTGCCCCGCAAGACGAATGCCTCGCAAGACGGAAAACCCGCTAGACGAAAGGGTTTTCCGTTTTGGAGGTGCTTTGCAAAACGAATTTCCTATGGGCTTGCTTCGCAAGACGACAATGTATTGCAAGTTCCTGCAGGGTTTCCCCCCCCCTTTTCCCAAGCCGCTAAGCCGCTTATCAGCTGATCTGCTAAGCGGCTTATCAGCTGATCCGCTAAGCTGCTTAACAGCTGATCGCTAAGCCGCTTATCAGCTGATCCGCTAAGCTGCTTAACAGCTGATCCACTAAGCTGCTTAACAGCTGATCGCTAAGCCGCTTATCAGCTGATCCGCTAAGCCCGCTAAGCCGCTAATAGCGCTAATCCGCTAATGGGCTTGCTTCGCAAGACGAAAAAACCGCAAGACGAAGAGACTCACGGAACGGATTCTTTTTGTCTTGCGAGGCACAGCCATTTCCCATGCCTTGCCCTCTTCCGGCAACTACTGCCCACTTCCGGTCCCTCTCATTTCCTTTGACAGTCCCACAACCACTTGGGGAAAAGGAGCAAACTGAATGGGTACTAGTGTCTACCTGTGGCTGCTGCACTCTGCACCCACAGAAGGTGGTTTAATGCAGAGGTGGGAAACATCTGTCCTTCCATTTTCTTATTAGACTCGCAACTCCTATCAGCCTCAGATGGTCAGGGATGATAAGAGATGTAGTCCAGCAGCATTTAGACGGACAGTTTCCTCACCCCGATATAACGAAAAGCCTCCATATGAACTTCACGGGACCAAAACAGCATTAGCTCTGCGTGCTACTCAAAAACTTTTTTTTTTTTAATCCTCCCAGACTTACTAGTACATGGCTTATTTGTGAACCTTCACAATCTGGCTAAAACACAGCTCAAGTCCCTGTAAATCTCTATCACAGCAAGAGGAGAGAAGCCTACCATGCTTGCAGGCGTTCATGCAGTCTTTCTTTGTAAGAAAGTTGTTATTATTCCCGCCGCATCCTGTATAGTTGAATGCCACACAAGTTCTGCTCGCTATATTGTAGTAAAAGCGACGTAGTGAAGCTGAACAGAGTCCCACATCCTTGGGACTAGAGCAAAAGGAGGGACCCTCTTCAAAAAAAAGAAGAAAGGAGTTAATTAAGAGTGTTTGTGTTTTGAAGAGCAGAATATAGTGATGTTTAGAATTCATAACCAATAATGCCCAGATTTTTTAAAAATTGGCAAAGTTTACAGTTTTATTTAGATTAGATACAATATCACCAGGTTCACCAAGAACCGCTGTTGTAGAGCTCCTGCTCCCTTGGAGAGTAAATTTAGGAAATACATGAGAACATTTCATCCCTCCCCCACCTATCAAGCTAAATAGGCCTATGGCTTGTATGAAAAAATAATTACTTCTCCCCAACTTGCAGACATCAGTGCAGGATCTTTTACTGGAAAACATGTTAGGGTGTCGTGAACGTTTTTTGGGGAAAAATTCCTCGCATTTCATTGTCTCAAGGTTGAAGAAATATTTCGGCTTGAGGGGGCTCCAGGTCCCTTGCGGAGGTTTCACTCGGCACATTACAGGCACTTCTGAAAATTAAACCGCAACTGTTTAGATGTTTTTAAAAAACTGCCTAAAGGAAACCATTGCTCTTAAAAATCTCCCCCAATTCACTTCAGGATTTGAAATTTGAGAACAATGACTTACTCTTGATTTTCCCGCAAGTTTCTATACAAGCGTCAAAGCTCAAAAAGTTGTTTTCGTTCCCCAAGCAGCCCCCGTGAGTAAACCTCTGGCAGTCTTGGGAGGCTCGGTTGTAGTACCACCTGTCTAATGAATCTGGGCAGACTCCGGGCACCGGTGACTCTAGGCACAGCTCTCTGTTGTCTGCATGAAAACAAAACCAGGGGAATGGAAGAAATGAAACGCTTTAAGGCCAAATGAGGTAAGGGGTGGGGGTGGGGGAGCCTGACTAGATCAGGCCAAAGGCTCAGGCAGTCCAGCATCCAGTTATCTGTGGTCAGTCAGATGGCCTGAACTCAAAAGCACCCTCCCCACATGCAATTCCCAGCAGCTGGCCTTCAGAGGCATGCAACCTCCAAAGGGGAGTCAGAAAAGGGCCTCTGTGGCAAGTCACATCTGAATGCCTAATCCTTTGTGAATTTGTACACTTTGTTCTCTTTCAGGCTGTTCAAGTTGGTGTCCGTCACTGCTTCTTGTGGGAGCAAATGCCAAAGTTTAAATATGCGCTGTGGTAAGAAGTACTTCCTTCTGTTGAATCATCCAACATTCATTGAACAGTAAGTTTCCAATCACAATTCAAAGTGTTGGTGCTGACCTTTAAATCCCTAAATGGCCTTGACCCTGCATACCTGAAGAAGCGTCTCCACCCCCATCGTTCAGCCCGGACACTGAGGTCCAGCTCCGAGGGCCTTCTGGTGGTTCCCTCCCTGCAAGAAGTGAGGTTACAGGGAACCAGGCAGAGGGCCTTCTCGGTAGTGGCGCCCGCCCTGTGGAACGCCCTCCCTTCAGATGTGAAGGAAATAAACAACCAGCTTACTTTTAGAAGACATCTGAAGGCAGCCCTGTCTAGGGAAGTTTTTAATGTTTGATGTTTTATTGTGTTTTGGGAGCTGCCCAGAGTGGCTGGGGAAACCCAGCCAGATGGGCTAGGTATAAATAACAGTTGCCCCCAAAGCGAGAGAATTGCCACGCTGCCAAGCAAACAGGACTGTGTCGTGATCCGCTTGAGACTTCTGCAGTCCATTTCACCCTGCTCCAAAAGATTCCTTCAAGCCCCATTATTTTCAGTCAATCATTAGCTTTTAAGAGGGTCTATTAAACGACTAAACAACAACAAAAATTCATCTGAACTGTGTGTGTGTTTAATGTGCATTTTATCATTCCTTTTATTACTGATGTTCAGTGCCGAGTGCAATCTTTGAGCCCCCCATCGCCCCCCAGCCCTGGAGGATTTAAAGGAAGGCACAAGTGCTTTAGTAAGTCAAATACTCAAAAACTCCTTTGCTCATATTATTTCTCATAATAAAAACGCTTTGTCCCCAGCGAGTTGGATGGGGGGGGCAGGTACACCATGCAAGGCAACATGGGGATGAACTGGGCAAATACATTCCACTTCTCGCAGACCTGTGACTAATGAAGCCATCTATGTATGGCCTTCTAAACTGTGGGCGGAGTTTATGGTTCTCCTTTGTTGATAGAGAAAAATCTATAATTCCAGGTGCCATAAGAAAGCTGCAGGGATAGCGCAGGATAGTGCGCACCCCGGAAATGATCACTTTCAGCTTCTGTCTTCTGGAAGAAGGTACAGGGTTATAAAGACTAGGACTAGCCGCCTGAGAAACAGTTTCTACCCAAATGTGATTTTGGTTTTAACGCAGTGTAAGGAGTCTCTGTGGGAGTATATTGTATTTAAAAATGGGGTATCAGAGTTTTTAGGGGGGCTAACCAGGTTGGGATAGCTGGGATAGCAGGCTTGTTGATTTTTGAATGTCTTATGTAGAGTTTTCAATTTCGTTGTTCTGTATGGGACAATGACAATAAAGATTATCGTATCGTATTTTTGTGGTTTTTTAATATATATATATTGCAAGCCGCCCTGTGACCTGCGAGGGAAGGGCGGCGTAGGAATTTCATTAATAAAAATAACAAATAATAATAGGGTACGAGAACTCTGGTTGCGATCACCGAGAAAGTCAGAAGAAATCCGTTTTACAGCGTCTTGCAAGAGCGCAGCCAAGGAAGCTCCCCACCTCCAAAACAGACCCGCGCCCCCACGCTACCTGCCGTCGGGATCTGGAGCCGGACGCGGCCCAGGAGCACCACGAAGGCGGCGGCTCGCAGAAAGGCGCGCGAGTTCCCCGCGGCCTGGCCCATCGCCCGCCGCGGGCGACTGGCTGCGAGGGCCGGGCTCGTCTACGAACGACGGAGACGTTGGGCTCGCGGAGCCGCCGGGGCCTCTTTAAGGAAGAACTGCGCGTCTTCCCACGGCCGCCTCGTCGCGGCTCAGGGGCTGGGCGCGCGTCTCGCGGGCGCGTTGTAAAAGGCATCCCCGGGATCAGAGTCCCTGGTCATCCGCGAGCGGCATCGGAGGCGAGGGGACGGCGAGCGGGGTTGCCGCGGAGGCCTGGCGCGTCTGGGCTGCCCGCTTCGACGGCGCAGGGCATGAGCTGCCCTCGAGCAAAAAGTCCCCGAAACCATCAACAACTCGCCGAGCCTTTGAGTTTTAAATAATCCCCAATGCGCATAATGTGGCCACGCGGCTCTTGATGCTTCTGGGGTTTATGGCTTTGTCTAGAACGCAAAGTGACCATTATTACTTGACTTCCTTTGAAGAACAGAAATTGCCCATTAAACCAACTGCTGGGGACATTTTGGAGGGTGGTGGTTTATGCGCTGGAGGGGGTAATCGGGAGAAGTATTTGTATATTTTAGTCCTGTTCTTATCAAAGTGGCCAACTGCAAGGCCCAGTCCAATTTGCAGGAGTTTGACCTGGCTATTGCAGGGTAAGTCACACTCAGCTCTGCACAGTAAACTCTCGGTTATTAAGCTGGGGGCATGTTGGTTTGTTTCAATACTTCAAAGCTCCTGTTAACTGGTATTTCGGTTATATTGACTAGAGGCGCATTTCAATGTCGATTGGAAAATGTTGGGTGGGTGTTGCAGTTTATTGCTAGGATGTAGAGCTTGATGTTTCTAATGTCTGGTGTTTTATCGTGTTTTTAATATTCCACTCTTGAAAGCCACCCTGAGTGGCTGGGGAAACCCAGCCAGATGGGTGGGTATAAATAATAAATTATTGTTGTGTTGTTGTTGTTGTTGTTAAGCAGGGCTGGCCCAGATGACCTTCAAGGTTCCAAAGCAGACCCATTAAAAAGAAGTTCTAAGTCACGTCCATTTATTTCCATGGATCTACACTGAGTGCGCCTAACATAGCATGCAATCCTTTGATTCTCTGAAATCTGAAAGGATGCTGGTCTGCTGAAGGGAAACAAGATGCAATGCTTAATTTTACTTGTATTTTATTTTTGTACATTTTTAATACATGGGGTTTGGGGCGTAGCACATGCGTTGCATCCTAAAGATCAGAGGCTTTATCAGTTGCATCTTCAGACTAGATTGTTCTGGTATGACACCTATTTAAGGCTGCTTCATATATATCCCAATATGTTCATGTCTTCAATCATGAAACTGAAAAGGATGTGACTGCAGTTCTCGAAAAGTCACCCATCCAGGTGCTGACCAGATTCTGCTCTACCTACCTTCAGCAAGGTGATAGCCTTCAGACCACAAGGAGTCACTGAACAGGGATTTCAGCATGGATCTCCATGGCCCCTTCAGCTGTCGAAGAGGCAATTCTGCATGTGGACATCTGTCCTCTTCCTTGAAATGAATGGGACGGATATGCTTGGGAGCAGAGGCAGAGTCTAGATCTTAACTGGATAAAGTAGAATGAAAATGTAGCATGTGCATGCAGTGTGTACATACATGGACTGCAAAATACGTTCGCTAGGGGGAAACTTGATCTACATAAAATGATGTGTAACAAATTAGAAACAAACACTTATGACAACTTATTTTATTTTTCTTTATTTTTACAAATTTACAGTGAAGGTCAGTCACATTTGCACATAGCAAGTTAGGATGTAATTTTACCAGTTCTCATATAGGCAAAGTAAGGTTTGACACAGGTGCAAATATCCTTAGGACAGACAGCATCAAGTGAAGGCAGATGACTCTTCTTCAGCTTCAGAACAAAAAACATGCCGAATGCACATTAATAAAGTTACCTCAAAATGTGTTCTGTGCAAGAGATCAGGAGGATGACTTTAAAGAGGAGGGACATAATCTCAATATCTGACTAGCATTCTCCACTCTTAACTGTCCAGCAGGAATAATCTCATGATGAAAATTAATCCTGTAGCTTTAGAACTGGACCAGTTGACAATGGGAGAGGCAGCCATCAGTTCACCACACTCCTGAAACCTTACGTAGCTTATAATTCACCTTAAAAAACAAGCACACCCCACTATCAAGTTCATTGCTGGTCTCCTCCCAGTGCCAGCTTTTTAATCAGCAGCATTACAATTATGTATATTACCAAGAACAAACGTATTTTATTTTTATTATCACTGTATCTATATCCCAACTATTCTCCAAGGTGGCAAATACACTTCTCCCTTCTATACCTTCATAACAATCCTGTGAGGTAGGTTAGGCTGAGAGACTGTGTGTACAAAAACCACCCAGACATGGCTGAGTGGTGAACTGAACCCGAGTCTCCCAAGTCCTAGTCTAGTCATATTTCCTAACCTCAAACAAGGGCTTTGAACCCAGGATAAAATTTTAGAATGTCCGACTGGGTTTTGACTTGTCTACATTCTCCTCCCTTCCAATTCACTTGGTAGTTTTTGGCAAGCCTGCCCCCTAAGGATGTTCTTGAAAAGTTCACAGCAAAGGAATTGATATCAGCAATACCAATTTATTCAAGAGAAAAACGAGTTTGGTTAATCTTCAGTTAAAGGAACAATGCAAGAAATATCTGACAAAGATCTGTTTTTTTTTTAAAAAAAACAACTATGGGTCATGGTTCTTGCTTCAGCTATTCAACAACAGTTCAGCTCTTCCAATACAGCAGAACCATTTTCATAAACTACACAAAGGGGAAAGTTTAAAACGTATGCATTTATATTTATAGTAACATTTTATAAAACTTGGGGGAAACTCCATAAGATCTAAAGATCTGCATCTGCAGTTATCCTGCAACGTCTGTAATCAGCTATATCCTCTCTGCCAGACTTATTCACATATAAACACAGGAATCTCCCTTATCCCAAGCCAAAATATTTGTTCCGCCAGCTCAGAATTGTCTACAATGAGTGGATGAGGCTCTCCAGGGTTTCAGACCAAAGCCCTCCCCATTGCCCACTATCTAATGCTATCTAGTGGTCCGTGAGATTTGCCTGATCTCCTGCCACTGGCATCACTGGCTTAACTTGAGCAAGGCAGCATTGAGAGTGGTGTGCTGCAAATGCACTGGCAGAAGCACTGGATTGGTTCTGCCCATGTGTTTCAACTGCGCCAACCACACCCCGACTGATCATGCTGCTGTCATGCAGGTGATGGGAGGACGTGTAACATCAGCACAGCGGACTGTTTTAACTAGAGATTCCAAGAACCAAACCTCAGACATTCTGCATGCAAGGTAAGCCCTCTACCACGCATCTGCCACCCCTCCTTATGAAGATGAAGATAAGAAAGTTCAGGAGAAGGTCTTAATTTAGTGTTCCATATAATGAAACCACCAGAAAGGGTCTATCGTATTCAGCAGCTAGTAGAGAAGAATCAATGTTCAGCAGGGAGTGTTGAGCTGCTTCTTGTGCGTCCAAGTATCTGAATGAGGGTCAACAGCCCAGGATTTTATCCTTCAACAGGGCACACTGGCATGTGCATGGGGCCCAATCCCTAAGTAAGCTGTAACTAGATCAAAGAAACCTTGCCGTTCAAAACTGTTCATATAGTAAAATTGTTACATAGCCACATAAAACTGAACAAAACCTAAACCCACCCATTAGTTAAAAGTTTCTAGTGTGTGAAATCAGTGCATCTAGTCTGGAAACCTCTCCAGATTTAAGAATGTATGTGGCGTTCGTTGGATTTGAATGTTGGCTGTAGACTCCTCATCCTTACGAGACAACATATTTTGATCCAGTAGCAGGTGGTTTCTTTCTCCCTACTAAGAAAATAGAAATCAAAATATAATCGGAAGTAACTTAAATCACTTTATTCACATGTGGTAAATAAAGACAAAAGAGAAGAAAAAGGGATGCAACCCCAGAGGACAGGATCACACTTCAAAACGACCTTGACAGATTAGAGAACTGGGCCAAAACAAACAAGATGAATTTTAACAGGGAGAAATGTAAAGTATTGCACTTGGGCAAAAAAAATGAGAGGCACAAATACAAGATGGGTGACACCTGGCTTGAGAGCAGTACATGTGAAAAGGATCTAGGAGTCTTGGTTGACCACAAACTTGACATGAGCCAACAGTGTGACGCGGCAGCTAAAAAGCCAATGCAATTCTGGGCCTCATCAATAGGAGTATAGCATCTAGATCAAGGGAAGTAATAGTGCCACTGTATTCTGCTCTGGTCAGACCTCACCTGGAGTACTGTGTCCAGTTCTGGGCACCACAGTTCAAGAAGGACACTGACAAACTGGAACGTGTCCAGAGGAGGGCAACCAAAATGGTCAAAGGCCTGGAAATGATGCCTTATGAGGAACGGCTAAGGGAGCTGGGCATGTTTAGCCTGGAGAAGAGGAGGTTAAGGGGTGATATGATAGCCATGTTCAAATATATAAAAGGATGTCACATAGAGGAGGGAGAAAGGCTGTTTTCTGCTGCTCCAGAGAAGCGGACACGGAGCAATGGATCCAAACTACAAGAAAGAAGATTCCACCTAAACATTAGGAAGAACTTCCTGACAGTAAGAGCAGTTCGACAGTGGAATTTGCTGCCAAGGAGTGTGGTGGAGTCTCCTTCTTTGGAGGTCTTTAAGCAGAGGCTTGACAACCATATGTCAGGAGTGCTCTGATGGTGTTTCCTGCTTGGCAGGGGGTTGGACTCGATGGCCCTTGTGGTCTCTTCCAACTCTATGATTCTATGATTCTAGGTCTGCTAATTCCCAACCACCAGGTAATTGCAGTTTCCACAATGCGTGTTTTGGGCATTAAAGCAGGGACAAAGGCGAGTCCCCATCTCAGCAGGACCAAAGCCAGCACAACCCTCCTTGTGACAAGCAGGGCCTGTGCTCACCCTTAATGCCTGCAGGTACTACCTCCTCACAAAAGCAAACGTGCCCTTGACCGTGATGGGTAGAAGACAGTCTGCCAGGGAAAGGGAAGAGCTCCTTGTCTGAAATTCCTTGGCAGAGGATGCTTTCTCACAAGCTGCTTTTGCCACAACCCGGGACACATCCCAGCTTTGCACTCCTTCAGAACAGCACAAACGACTGGAGGGCACAGTCCATGCCTAGCCTTCATCCGGCAACTACTGCCCCCTTCTGGTCCCTCTCACCTCCTTCTGCATCCTCACAACCTTTGGCCAAGGGAGTGAGCTGAAAATATGGGAGGACCACAATCCACCTGTGGCTACTGCATTATGCACCTATGGAAGGTGGTTTAATGCAGGAGGGGGAAACCTGTGCCACTCCAGTTGTTCTTGGACTCCCATCAGCCTCAGCCACCACGTCACATGGTCAGGAATGATGAGAGATATGTACTTGGACGGATACAGTTTTCTCACCCCAATATAACAAAAAGCCTCCCTGTTTGCTCTTGGAGAGCACCAGCTGTTTGTGCTGCTTAATGTTGTTCTCTTTAATCCCTCTAGAATTACTAGAACAGGGCTTATTTGTGAACCTTCACAATCTGGCTATAAGACTGCAAACGTCCCTGTAACTCTCGATCTCAGCAAAGAGAGAGCTTCCTACCTTTCTTGCAGGCCTTGAGACATGATTTCCGAGTGAGGAAGTTGTTAATATTTCCTCCACAACCTGTATAGGTGAATTCTTCACAATCTCCTGTGTCTATGTTGTAATAAAAGCGAGGAACTGAACTCGAACAAATTCCCACGTCTTTGGGGTTAGAGCAAAAGGAGGGGGTATCTTTAGAAAAAGAGACAGAGAGACAGAGTTACTTAACACTACTTATTTTTGTTTTTTGAAGTGTAGACTGCAGTGGTGTTAGGCATACAAACCAACAGTTCCCAATCAGAAAGTGGGCCGAGTTTCTGATCTTTGATTTAACATGTGTACACTGCTTTCCCAGCAAAAACAAGCTCAAAGTGGCTCATAACTACAAAGCATTAAAAATGAGCAAACATTTCCATCCGTGCAATCAATTAGGGAAAAGACACACACACCACAATAGTGCGTTGGTAAAGCAAAAACGAACAATGCCATAAATAATTGATGCAATTCAATACAAACTTTTAATAATTCAAAATTAATTCATCAGAAATGGTTAGCGAGCACCAGTCCCATGAGACACAACAGAACATTTCACCCTCCCCCACCCAAACAAGCTATTAATTAAAAATAATAATTACTTCTTTTTGGCAGGCAGAAGTTCATGCAGGAGTCTTTATCGTCAAATCGGTTCTGGTTTCCTAAACAGCCTCCATAATAAAATTTTTCACAGCTCATCGTCTCAAGGCTGAAATAATATTTTCGCATTAAACCTCTACAGATTCCTTCATCAGATTTCAGTCGGCATATTTTAGGCACCTCTAAAAACGAAAGAGAAACCAACTGGTTGAAAACAACAATCTAAGCCAAACCTTTGCTTTTATCAAACCGATTCCGCAATTCACTCCAGGATTTGAAAGAGCTACAACTTACTCTTGATTCTCCCGCAAGTCTCTGAACACTCTTCAAAACTCAAAAAGTTGTTGTTGTTTCCCATGCAGCCCCCAAAACTAAACTCCTGGCAGGTTTGGGTGGCTCTGTCATAGTACCACCTGACAAACAAAGCCCGGCAGGGTCCTTTAAGTGGTGGCTGGAGACAGATCTCTCTGTTGTCTGCATGAAAACGGAAGGGGGTGGGGGAAAGAGAAATGCTTTAGGTACAAATCCCAGAAACAAGAAGAGAGTAGGGAGGCAAGTAAGAAATTCATGTGTTGAAAATTTGTCCCAGTGAAATGTAAGTAGACCTCTCCTGCAACAGGCCCAAAGCCCAAGTAGTCAAGCATCCTGTTTTCACAGTGGTCAGCCGGATGCCTATAAGTACCGTAGCCTGAAAGCAGGACCTGAGTTCAAGAGCACTCTCCCCACCTGCGATTCCCATGAGTGGCCTTCAGAGGCATAAAAAAGGTAAAGGACCCCTGGGCGGTTAAGTCCAGTCAAAGGTGACTATGGGGTTGCAGTGCTCATCTCGCTTTCAGGCTGAGGGAGCTGGCGTTTGTCCACAGACAACTTTCCGGGTCGTGTGGCCAGCATGACTAAGACGCTTCTGGTGCAACAGAACACCGTGACGGAGACCAGAGCGCATGGAAACACTGTTTACCTTCCCGCCACAGTGGTACCTGTTTATCTACTTGCACTGGCATGCTTTCGAACTGCTAGGTTGGCAGGAGCTGGGACAGAGTAACAGGAGCTGACTCCGTTGCAGGGATTCGAACTGCGTATCTTCCGATCGGAAGAGGCTCAGTGGTTTAGACCAGAGCGCCACCCGCGTCCCTGTTTCAGAGGCATACCCCCTTCTTGTGGAGGGCAGTGGAGAGGACTGTGGTGGGGCAGCTGAAATTATTCTAGGTGACATCAATCTGGGTTAAGAATGCTGTGGCAGGATTGCTGACAGGAGTTTATACCCTGTCATCTTATAATACATGTTCTCAGAGAGCTGTACTGGTTGCCAATCTGCTACCAGGCAAGGATCAAGATGTTACTCTTAGTATGTAAAGGCCTTAACAGATTGGGGCAGTTTACTTGCGAGATCCCATTACCGCCCCCCCCCCTTCATATGCCCGTTAAACTACTTCGATCTGTGACTGGTGTCACATTATACTCATTCCACATTTGTAAGAAATATTTTAGTGTGGCAGCACTCACACTTTGGAACTCCCTGCTTAGGGACCCCAGGCAGGCACTTTCCCGCACATGCTAAAAACATTTTTCTTTAGGCAAGCCTACTTTGTAAACTGCTTTGAGGGTTGTTGTTTTTAACTATCAAGTGGTGTATAAATTGTATTAAATAAATTATTATTATTATTAATTGAGTTTATATACTGCCCTATACCTGGAGGTCTCAGGGCAGTTTACATAAAAATATCACAAAATATGATAAAAATATCATAAAAACAGAATGAAAACAGCAACCCAAACACCCCCCGAAAAGAGCCACATTTTAAAAGGGTATAGGATGCCAAACAGATCAACCAAAGGCCTGGTTAAAAAGGAACGTTTTTGCCTGGCGCCTAAACTGTATAATGAAGGCGCCAGGCGAACTTCCCTGGAGAGAACATTCCACAGATGGGGAGCCACTGCAGAGAAGGCCCTATTCTCCAGACATGTAGAATGTTGGCATGTTTTCTAATTTGATTTTTGGCTTAGCATTCATTTTAATTATTATTTTTGGATGTTTTAAATACTTTTTTCTGATGGCCGCATTATTTTATTCTTTTCGTAAACTGCTTTGAGGTTTTATTACAATGACATGGTATCTAAAACTTGTGAAATGGATAATTTTTTATATAAAAAAAACAGTCTCCAACAGCAGAGGTAGAAACATAGCCATTGTGGCTAGTAGTTGTTGATAGCCTAATCTTTCATGAATTTGCCCAATCCTCTTTTGAACCCTTAAACCCAAAGAGCAAAGATACTGAGCTAAATGGACCAATGCTCTGATTCAGAATAAGGCAGCTTTCTGTGGTCACAGTACTAAATTGCTTGGAAAATGGTATTTTGCTGCAGATCTGGCTTGTATTTCTGAATCCTGACATTTGGGGGGAATTGCTTAATCAACATATCTCGCATTTCCGGACGACGCAAGATCCTTCTTTAATTTATCATATTTAAAGGGAATATAATCTCTGCATTACAGGCACAAGCGCTTTAGTAAGCGCCAAACACACCCACAAACACTCAATGACGCCATCACTATTACTTGACAGCACTGATAGTCTTTACTTGGACTTTTGTTATTTTAACCCCTCTTTCTACGTTCCTATTCTACAGTTTCCTTCTTTGGTCTTTTAATTTTCACCTATTGCTATAATTGTTCTCTCTCTTTTGTAAACATTGTACAATAAAGTTTTGAAAGAAAAACTTTGCCAAGAAAGAATAAAAACACCAGCACTCATAATATTTTGGCTACCAGCTAGGCAAGGAAAAGCAAAAAAATAAAAAGGGTTTTGGCAGACGGAGGCAGGTGCAGCATGTGGGGCGAAGCGAGGATTTTGGAAAGAGAACATCGGTCGTCATCCCTGGGAAGAGCAAAAACAACTCGCAAGAAGAAAACAGCTGATAACATGCACCCGCTCCAAAAAAGTCCCCGATTACCTCGCGTTGTCGACTGGGGCCAGACCTGCTCCAGAAGTACCACCAAGGAGACGACCAGCAGAAAGGCCCGCGAGTTTCCAGAAGTCAGATCCATCGCTGCAAGTCGCTGCGCGCGTTTGGCTGGTCTACGACCGATGGAGACGTTGGCCACAGTGGCCCCTTTATAAACGATCCCGGCTTCTCCGCCGCCGCCTCCTGGCCCAAAGCCTACGGGCGTGCTTCCCAGACGAGGGAGGGCTCGGAGGGGGTGATTCATCCGTTTCTGGAAAGCGATGTAAAACCGCGAGGGGGCGGGCGGACCGAGGGAGCGGTCCCTTGCGTGGCTGGTGCGCCCCGCGCGTCATTGCGCATCTTCCGAAGAAGCAGCTCCGCGAGGTGGTCGCTGGCCCATCCCGACGCGTATCCGGGACGGCTGGGGCGGGCCTGGAGCCTCGCTGCTCGCGACCCCGACAGCGGCGAAAAGATCCGAGGAAGATGGAAGGAGCAAACATTGGAGTAAACCCCGAGTTGAATGCACGGAACACCAGCCAGACGCGAAAGTGTCCCCAGGCGTCTGTTGAGGACTCAGTCGGCACCAAGATGTTCTGCCCACTATAGCTCACTTCTGAAGTTAAAAAGCAAAGCTTAGGGAGCTTGTGCCACACTGGCACGATGCAGTAGTTTTGTCTATGCGCTTATCGGACGTTATCCGAGCTTTCCACAGGAAGTAGCCTTCTACCTGGTTAGATTATATATTCTTATAGTCCAGTTGTTATATTTACATACAGTGGTACCTCGGCTTACATATGCTTCAGGTTACATACGCTTCAGGTTACACACTCCGCTAACCCAGAAATAGTACCTCGGGTTAAGAACTTTGCTTCAGGATGAGAACAGAAATCGTGCTCTGGCGGCGCGGCAGCAGTGGGAGGCCCCATTAGCTAAAGTGGTGCTTCAGGTTAAGAACAGTTTCAGGTTAATAACGGACCTCTGGAACGAATTAAGTTCTTAACCCGAGGTACCACTGTATTTTTATATTTATAAAATGGGACGCGGGTGGTGCTATGGGTTAAACCACAGAGCCTAGGGCTTGCTGATCGGAAGGTCAGCGGTTCAAATCCCCGTGATGGGGTGAGCTCCTGTTGCTTAGTCCCAGCTCCTGCCAACCAAGCAGTTTGAAAGCACGTCAAAGTGCAAGTAGATAAATAGGTACCGCTCCGGTGGGAAGGTAAACGGCGTTTCTATGCACTGTTCTGGTTCGCCAGAAGCGGCTTAGTCATGCTGGCCACATGACCCGGAAGCTGTACGCCGGCTCCTTCGGCCGATAAAGCGAGATGAGTGCCACAACCCCAGAGTCGGCCATGACTGGACCTAATGGTCAGGGGCCCCTTTACCTTTATATTTACGGTATATATAAAAAAACTATTTCCCTTTTCCTCCAAAAGCTTCTTCCTCGCCCTTCTACGTATTCTTCTCACAACAACTCTGTGGGGTAGGTAAGGCTGAGAGATCATGACTGGCCCAAGGTCACCCAGTGAAATTCATGACTGAGTAGGGATTTGAACTCCGGTCTCTCTGGGCTTAGTCCCTCACCCTGTCGAAGAATGAGGAACTGTTTTCAACTTGTGGGTGGCATTCGTACAATAGGTTTCGTTCCAGCCACAGGAAAAGGGAGAGGCATCTGCACTGAACTTCTCTCCATCCAAGCAGGCAAGAAGCACCACACATTCTAGCCTAACAAAGGCAATCACGGGTTCACAGAGCATTAGTAAGGGAGAGGCCTGAAGGGGCACATTTGGCCTCCAGGCCTGAGGTTTCCCACCCCTGCTGTAACCATTGCACTGCATTGCCTAATCCTGTTGGTTCTCAAGTAGAGGGAGGTCTTTCACAGCACTGCCTAGTTGGACCTTCTAACTGAAGATGGTGATAGGCATAGCATGTCTCCAGCATTTCAGACATCGTGTCCCACATATTTTTAACTGGAGATGCCAAGGATTGACTCTACTGCTCATTTCCGTGTTATTTGCTTCCAGAGAAAAACCCATTTCCAAATAACACAAAAATGAGCACTAACCTCGCACGATATTCCACAATATTTCTGGAAGTGGCTTTTACTGTTCAGGGAAGTTTTTAATGTGTGACATTTTAATGTATTTTTAATCTTTGTTGGAAGCCGCCCAGAGTGGGCGTGGTACAAATAAATTTATTATATTATTATTATTATTATTATTATTATTATTATTATTATTTTATGTCATGTGGAAGCTCAGACATCATGCAGAAATTAAGAGCTTTACTGAGACCAGAGGAAATGCTTATACATATATTAGGAATAGGAAACAAACTATTTGATCTAACCCAGTACTGCCTACTCAGATTAGCAGGGATGTTGGAGAATTCAGATGAAATGAGATATCGTACTGGAAATGGCATCAGTTTGTGTGCCTGTCTGCAAGCAGCACTGGAAATTAGGCAAAAAAATTAAAAACATGCAACTGGTATTCACAATTGTCATTTCCCTCCCCCCAGTCTGTAATTTGCTTTTGTTATTTTTTTCAGTATGCAAACAATATACTATTGATAGGATCCCCCCACCCCACCCATTGAAATGAACAGTGTGGAATCATAACAATATTGTAATCAATTATGTTATTAAATCTGAACAGCAAGCTGATTGATGTTGGTTTTGAGGAACCTGAACTGCAGTGGAATGGAAACAGTGCTGCATGTTTGATATGGAGCAGAATCCCTATAGGCAGACAGAGAGGCATTTTTCCTCCTTTTAACAGGAAATGCCAGGAATTGAATGTGGAGCCATTTCAAAGCACATTCACTATCCCGGAAGTATGTTCCTTCTTATGCTCTTTTACTTACTACTCATCAGCATGTAGCAGAACACCCTGAGAGATGCAGCTGTGTTTTCAGAGGTGCTTAATCCTCTGAGTGCAAGAAAAGCGGAAAGTGAGCAACGTGGGGGAGATTAATCAGCATCTTTTTATGGCGCATTTCCAGTACAGTGTCCAATTCTGGCCAATTTCTTAAGATAGGCAATGGAAGCTAGATGGAGCATTCAGGTGGCCCAAATGATAGTGCCTTCCGCTCTTCCAGAAAATCTGGAATTGGTTATTGTTAGCTTTCCAAGAAGAATTTAAAACGGGCACTGCAGTATTCTATGAAAGGAAACAACTACTATTCCCCACCCACTGCTCCTCAACTTCAACTGAATTAATATGCCAGGCATCGATAATAATAGCATAGATAGCATAATAGATAATGGAGGGAGGAATATGGACAAAAACGGAATGAGCCACCGACAAGCCTTAATTATAAATTGTTTAATAGCCCCAAGGGCCTAATTTCAGCATGGGGGGGGGGCAGGTGGCAGGATGCAGTAAAGGGCGATAAAGTACGTCTGAGTTGCTGACATTAATTTCCCCAAGATCTGGTGGTGGTCCAAGTTAGAATCAGGGAGCAGGAGATTATCTCATCTTCCAAGCTAGTGAGGACAGATATTTTATAGGAGGAATCTCTACCCCATTCTATCTATCCTTTTCACCAAGACCTTTATTTTAGTCCTTCCTTCCTTGCATCTTGGTTATGTTGTTGTTGTTTGGTCGTTTAGTCGTGTCCGACTCTTCGTGACCGCATGGACCAGAGAACGCCAGGCACTCCTGTCTTCCACTGCCCCCCGCAGTTTGGTCAGACTCATGTTTGTAGCTTCGAGAACACTGTCCAACCATCTCATCCTCTGTCGTTCCCTTTTCCTTGTGCCCTCCATCTTTCCCAACATCAGGGTCTTTTCCAGGGAGTCTTCTCTTCTCACGAGGTGGCCAAAGTACTGGAGCCTCAGCTTCAGGATCTGTCTTGGTTATGCTGACAATCAAATGCCTTCAAGATCTTATTTTCATCTTACCTTAAGATCACCTCTTCTTTCTCTTCATTGTCGTACAACAGCTTTGCATGACCTGGTGCCTTCCACATGTTTTGGACTACAACTCCCATCAGCGCTAGCCAGCTTGGCCAACAATCAGGGAAGGTGGGAGTCACAGTCCCTCAACATCTGGAGGGCACCAGGTTAGGAAAGGTTCTCCGCTCTGTATTTTTATAAACAGAGTCTTCAAGCTTCTCATTACTTTGCTTCTCATTCCCCCCATTACATCCCAATTTTGCCCTCTATGTTTTGTGGCTTTGATCCAGAATCCATTTGATCCATTACTGCTTGTTTCACTTCCCTGCTTTGTTGGTTAGTTTTAGATTGTTTTAAAAAACTGTTGCCAAGAACCTGTGCCTAGTAATGCTAGGAAACTTATTATAATAGAAGCAAGAAAGTATCTCTCTTTGCCCCCATTGCAGAGGATGGTCTTGCTAGGGGGTGAAGAAATCTAGGACATGTGTGGAAAACCCAAATCTCCTTAGCAAATCATTTTAGATTGAGTTAACTTAGCTGGAATTTATTAATAATGGTTACTGTGGATAATAATAATAATAATTTTTATTTATTTATACCCCGCCCTCCCCAGGCAGAGCTGGGCTCAGGGTGGCTAACACCAGTAAAATTACAATTAAAAAAATAAATTAAAAAATAAACCAATTTAAAATACAGGTTAAAATATAAATTAAAATGCAGCCTCATTTTAATAGTAGCTCATATGGGAAGGATATTCCTTCATATTCTGCTTGTGGGCTTTTTGGAGTTTCTACTTGGTCATTTTGGGAAACAGGACATGCTGGAACTTTGTTCATATCCAGCATGGTTCCTACGTTTGTCTTTATGTATGTACAAATGGGACTGTAACAATGTGTTGCAGTATGCTCCTTCTTAGGGTGCCAGCCAGCCAGCCATGCTGTCATGCAGGATACTTAAGGGGCTCAAGCAGGAATCTCTCATCTCCTCCCACATAATACTTCAAAATCTGTAGCTACTAAGTATGGTCAGTGCTCATTAGGCTGGTTTTTTATGGGGAGAGGAAGGGGGATCTCCATGGTTTAACTCACCCCATAATTCTACCCAGTGCTTTTTTTCTGGGGGTACGCAGGGGTACGCATACCCCTAAACATTTTGTGAATCTTTGTACTTTTGTCCATTTACTGTATTTATTTCCCCCGATCTGAACTATAAAATGGTGATTTTCTTGAGTCAAAATGAGAGTACCCCTAAACATTTTTTTTAGGGGAAAAAGCACTCATTCTACCAATGTGGATGTTTCTCCAAGCATGATGCCATCCTCTTTTTTAATATATATGTTTGTTTTTGAGAATAAAGGTGTAAAAAGATATACAATCAAAAGAAAATAAAAAAAAACTGTAACTGTGACAAAAGTTGTTTACTTCATCCTCACTCTTAAGGTGCTTCCAGATGACCTGTTTATGGAGTATTAATCCTGATTTGTTTACAGGGAGATATCGTGTCAAAGTAACTGTTCTCCCACACTTTCCAGTATGTTTTCCCATTTGCTTTCCTTATCAGTAAAAGCCCTATCTTTTCAGAGAGAGGCAGGTTTGTTGTGCAAGAGCTCCCAATCAACTATAATGGTGCAACCTGAATTTGCTGCTATGTGATGGAATCACACCCGAAAATAGTGACAGTCCAAAGCACACTTCTCATTGGTCCTATTTTGGTTCAGTTTCTATCAGCATTCGCCACCTGAGTTTGCTGCTCAAAGGAGTGGTACATACGTACATTTCACTGTCCCTTTGAAAGCTTATTACAGGCATAGGCAAACTCGGCCCTCCAGATGTTTTGGGACTATAACTCCCATCATTCCTGACCACTGTTAACTAGGAATGACGGGAGTTGTAGTCCCAAAACATCTGGAGGGCCGAGTTTGCCTATGCCTGGCTTAGCAGAACTTATGGAGCTCCCATTATTCTTCCAAGTTCAAATCCCCTTCGGCAGTTATGGTATACAATTTAGAACTGCACCATTTAATAGATTAGAAGGCACTGTGGCTGCCTAGAATATTTTCTTATCATTTGTTGTATACTATTACAGGGGTATTCAAAAGACACCCAATCTGGACAAAAGCTCTTAAGGATCCATAGATATACACTGGAAAAATATTATATTCCAAACATTACAATTTCTTGTAAAACAATGAATAAAAATGGACAAACAAATAAAGACTGAAGATTCCATATATAACAACAACATTCCACTGCTCTCTTATAGCATTTTCTTTTTCAGATATTTACTGAAGATCAGTACTATTTTGAGGTATTTGTAAAATTTATAGCTAACCTACTAGGTCCGTTTGGGTATTGCCACAGGAGTTATACAGCATAGTGAAACTACGTTGTAAACTAGAGTACAAATCTATGTGCTTTACCACTCAAAATGTAAAACTAATTTTTTTTGGGGGGGGGGCAACTCCTTAGTTTAATCCACCCCATAATTCTGCAAATGTTGATGTATCCCCAAGCATGTGATACTACCCTCTTTTTAGTGTGTGTGTGTGCGTGTGTGTGTTTACTGGTTTTTGAGAAAACAGCTAAGCTGCAACACGTTTCCATTTTTAATATAAATTTTATTAGAGTTTATAGAGAGAAATACAAAACTTAATATCAAGTATCTTTTTTATCCAACATTAGTCTAAGTAAGAGAAAAACAGCAAAAAAGAAACAAAAGATAAGTAGTTCAAAAACTAAAAAACTTCCAATTCTCCATCTGTCTGCTATATATAAACAGCATTCACTTAATCCACTCCAATATAACACCCAACCAAATCACTTTCTATAAACAAACTTCAATCTTCAATCCCAAATCCAAGTGCCATTATTTCAGTTTCTTTCTCACGCAAAATGTCTATGAGAGGTTTTCAATCTTTGGTAATTGTTAACAACTTAAACATGTGCATGTTGCCATCTCAGCTAAATCCATTAATTTTAACAACCATTCTTCCATTGCTGGTAATGATGAATCTTTCCATCTTTGCGTATGTAATAGTCTCGCCACTGTAATCATATATTGAAACAAAGTTCCATCGACCTTTTCTAATTGTATATCCATAAGTCCAAGCAGGAAAAGTTCTGGTTTCAGTTGAAAGTTAATCTTCAAAATTCTCCATATCAGTGTATGTATTCTTATCCTCTTTTTGGGGGGCTTATTTACATGTCCACCATGCATGATAAAATATCCCTTCATTTTCTTTATATTTCCAACAGGTATTCAGAACATTTTTATACATTCTAAATAATTTCTCAGGAGTTAAGTACCACATGTTTCCTATGCAGAAGACCTCAACTTTTCCCTCAAGCATCTGAAGTTAACAGGGCTGGGACCTTGGAAAGCTAATTATACTGGGCTGGATGGGCCAGTAGTCCAACTTCACAGGTTCATATAAAACGGGCACTATGTGTGAATAGCACTTACTGTGCTATCTTCTCTTTGGCGATCACTCATAGTTGAGTAAGATTGTCTTCCATGAACACAGTTTTAACAGTAGTCCGTAAGTGATTGTGGAGGCCAATTCTGGATCTACACGTCCTTGCACAGTGGGGTCATGTTTCTGGGTGGGAGTTGATCACAGTGAAGGTTTGCCAAGCGTGCCTTCCTCTTAGCATGTTTCTCCCCTTCGTCCTGAGTTCGGGCGTCTTCAAAGTCCACAACACCTTTGGTAGAGGCTGTTCTCCAACTGGAGCATTCGCAGGCCAGTGTTGCCCAGTTGTCAGTGTTTGTACCACTTTTTTTTAGATTTGCCTTGAGAGTCTTTGAACCTCTTTTGTTGACCACCAGCACCATAGCAATATCAATAATGTGCTTCAAAAGAAGTTTGTGACCTTTTGAAACAGATTAATCCACAATGCTAGTGCTGGTGGTCACCATAATATATATGAACAGTAGAAAATAAGTCATTAAAAAAAAGAGAGAGACTTTAGGCCCGGGGAGAGGAGCTTGTGGCGCTCCAAAAGTTAATGGACTCCAGCTCCCATCAAACCCAGCTTGTTGATGTTCTTATAGTCAATTGCTTCAAGATGCCTCACAAGAAGGGAATGAAATAAAGAATACCCAGAAGTACATCATACCCCACTGCATATAGGCATGCACAGCCAAAATAGGTTTGCAGCCTAATATATGAAAATAAACAAACTGTTGCTAGGGTGTTCCCCTGCTTCCCTTGGGTTGGGGAGAAGGACAACTCTAATAGTGTTTCCCCCCTCTATAGGTTTGCCTTTTCTATTTTCCCATGCTGCTTTCCAAGCCACCCTATTGTTTCGGACAGGCAGAAAGGGCCAGACATTTCCTTAGCAAACCTGTTTCCTCTGGAGCACTCAGCATGGCTGGCCTTTTCCATTGTAGAGAAAGCCGAAGCACACATCCTGTCTCTCAGAGTTTCCCTCCTCCCATCCTCCTCTCCGCCCCCCCCCCCCCCAGCTCCGCAGTCTCTCTTCATGCACACTTGAGAGCTTACAGCCTCCAGGTGTGTTAATAATCCCATATAAAAAAATTATCCAAGGGGATTTCTCTGTGAAATTCCCTGACCTCCATTCTTCCCCTCTCCTGGGGTCCGAGAATCTTTCTAGGTAGCGAGAGAGCTGGGGTTTTCCCCCTTCTCTGCCTTGTGTGATGTTAGGGAAATGTTAAGGAAATTTGGGGATGGCCTGGAGACAGAGGAGAGAAGGATGGTTTTCCATGTATGTGTAATGCTTCTTTTTGGTTTGAAACAGTGAAAACTAGAGAGAGAGAGAGAGAGAGAGAGAGAGAGAGAGAGTGCCACAGAGAGAGGTCAAACTGTGCAGTTTAATCAGATTAGGACGGATTCTGCTGATGAATTAAAATCCTGAAAGTAGTTACTAGGAGCTCAAAGAGCCTGGCAAGAAAGTTGGCTGAACAGGAAGTTGCCGCCGCTGCTACAGAGAAACCGGGACAAACTCACAAAGAGGAGGTAAGGATTTTCTGGGGAGAAAAGGAGAGGGCAGTGACATAATTAGGTAACTTTAGACGCCGGACTTAATGATCTTGTGCCCCTGCTTTTTAGTTCACTCATTCCTGCTGTGTTTCGGGGCCCTCCTGCTCCTTTTGGTGAGTGGGGCCATGCACCTCTTCCCTAAAGTCCAACCCCCCCATGGCACCACCGGGGTGGGGAGGGCGTCTTATGCACTCAGCTGCACCTCTCAACCTCATTTAACTCTCCTTCTCCCTCTGCCTCTCTCCTTGCTTTAAGCCAGCGATGCCAGCAATCAATATAGAGGATCTGAGCGAGAAGGATAAACTGAAAATGCAAGTGGAACAGCTCCGGAAAGAAGTCAAGCTGGAACGGCAGCCGGTGAGTGCTGCGTGGTTTCTTTTTTTTATTATATCTGGGGAGCCTGGCTGTTGGTTGGAGCAGCTCCTGTTTTCAGTGGCAGGCGGATCAAAGCCTGTTTGTTTGGAAGAGGCCTTCTGTGCATGTCTGCAGCTTGCTGGTTACAAAGCAGTTTGGCAATTTGACTGCCTAGGATCATTAAGGGGGCCTCGAAAGGAGGCCCAGATTGAAGGGAGGGGTGTGTGGAAGGGAGGAAGGGATTGACTGATTTTTCTAGACTCGGGTGAAATCAAAACCAAACAAAACACAACCATCTCTCCCCGATACATAAGGGACACAGGTAGGGATAAATGATCTGAATTGTATTCCGCTGGGGGGAAAGATTACTCTGGCCAGATTGCGCTCAAAGGGTACACATGTGAAATCCATATGGGCATGGGAAGCTGCCTTATACAAAGTCAGACCAATGGATTATTTAGATCTGATATTTCTGCATTGCAGGGGTTTGGATTAGATGAGCCTTCCAGCTCTATAATTCCATGATTTTATATGAATGGCAGAAGCTACCCGGGATTTCAGACTAGTTGGCCCTACCAGGGATCCCCAGCAATTATTGCCAGGCAAGGGCATGTGATCGAACCAAGTGATTAACAATGTGATTGACTAACAGCAGGTCTTGGGGGGGGGGGGAGAGAAATTCAATACAGTTCACATGTGCAGGTGACCCTTACCTAATCCAGACTTTACAAAAGAGTGAGAGAACTGGAACAAACCATCCTTTGAAAGGTGCAGTTTGCTGAATTTTGCAATGCATCTCTTGCCTGAGGTAGCTTCCTCATTTTGCCTAATGAGAGGGCCGTCTCTCCAGACTACACACAGGGGACTAGCATGTGAGGTAGAAAGCTAGTCTAGAACCTGTCCTATCATGCATTGCATGGGGTTAGGCTAGATGACCCTTGGGGTCCCTTTCAACTCCACAATTCTAATTACTCAGCCAAGTAACGTATACAAAAATGCATGCATTGAGGTAAAGTGTGCATATAAATGCCCATACGAGTGAAAATAACGTACAAAAATCCACTATACTAAGGAAAAGCACTCTGTAAAAACGTGCAGATTGCCTAGAAACATGTGTATATTAGAAGCTGACACTAAAATGCTGATGAAGTTTCATGAGCACTTTTCTTAAGTCTAGATCAGAACTTCTTAGTACGGTACTTCTGCCTTTATTTCTGTTCCACCCCATTCCTGATTTAATCTATCATATGTACAACTGTGAAAGGAGTATAGGACTATCTGAATTTTCTGTCTCTTGGGTACAAAATGTCTTTGGCTGCTTCTGCCTGGCCCGGCCCCCTCTTCCCAAAAACAACCACAATTTGGGAATCACTGACACACGAGGGAATGCCTATTGACATCAGCTGCAGAACTGATGACACAGCCTGAATTAGAGTGGAAGCTGCAATTACAAGGAAAGGGGAGAAGCGTTAAGAGGCTAATTATGGGGTAGGCAAGCAGAGGGCTAAATTTGGGGCTTTTTACTGCTTTAGTACAAGACTTCAGGGAGCTGAGGTATGCAATATAGTAAGGAAGAAATGGCCAGATGACTAGGGGGGGGGGAACAAATTGGGCATGAAGTGTTTCCATGATTATTTCCAGAAATCTGGACAGATTTGCCTCTTCTGGCAAATCTTGTAGAGAAGTGGCGATACTCAAAATAATTGCAAGAAACTACGTTTTCATAAAGTTCATCCAGTGGCAGGGTAGGAGGTAGGAGGTACTGTTATTTTTCACTAATATCCAGCCATAGCCCAGTGGATGAGGGATGGGGAACCTGTGCCCTCCCAGAGGATACTATTTTCTTATTTTTATTTATAATATACTGAATTCATATCCTGCCCTTCCTCTCCAGGCGGGTGTGAGGTTGTTGTTTTTTTAACATAGCAAATATAAAACAAACTGATGGTACAGAATACAGGCAATCCTCATTTTGTGTGGGGGTTCCATCCCAGACCCCACATGCGTTGTCAGAGTGCGCATACGTCTGCTCCGCCCCTTTTTGTGCCGTTCTGGAGCTACTTCTGGGTTTAGCGCCATGCACATGTTATTCGGACACACCTAAACCAGGAGTTGCCTGTATTCCTACTACTCAACACATTTTCACATGCAATGTATATTTTCATATGCAATATCATAATGTACACTTTAAACTGCTGTTATATTCATTTTGCTTCTTTATACACTTGCTTTAAAAAAAACAGATTTAATGTATATGTCATGTTCTTTGTAAACTGCCTAGAGGTTTCACTTACAGTTATACAAATTTTGTTAAATAACACAAGTTGCAGGAAAAAATATTTATACATAGCAACTTGCAAATTTTGTTTCTGGTGTTTATCATTAATTAATATGTGTAGTGTTTGTGTATCACTGTGAAACTTTTCTTGCCTTCCAAAACGACCCCTGTATTTAGATTTCTTTTGCTCTCTCTTTTTGAAGGTTTCCAAATGTTCTGAAGAAATTAAAAATTACATTGAAGAAAGATCTGGAGAAGACCCTCTGGTTAAAGGCATTCCTGAAGACAGGAACCCTTTCAAAGAAAAAGGAGGATGTGTTATTGCTTAGAAGAAGATGGTTAAGCAATATTGAAAGTGGAATAAAAGCATCCTAGCATAACTAGCCAGATTTAAGTTCCAGGAGTCCTTACAGAACAACTAGACAGTGATAATCTTTTTTTATTTTTAAAGAAAACAGAAAATGCCTGCTTATAATTTTATTCCGTGAAGCAGATTCTTGCTTACTGTATCCCTAAATAAGTTTCTAGAGGCTGCTTCCTGTTCTTTTAATTTCCTGCACATGCTGATTTGAGTAATAAAAGAAATCTATTTGAACAATCAACTACAGTGTTATTTTGGTAAAGAGAATGCTAAGATGAAAGGCTTCTTTTTTTTTCATTGCAGAAAATAGAACTGTAACCGTGAGAACACCATGATAGCACTGTTGTAATAAAACTAGGAGTTCATTTACGTCTGGTGAAGTACAATGATTATGTGAGGGTTTTAGTTTTTTGGTCAGCTGCAGTAGTGTGGTGGCAAATTCAGAAGTGCAGGGGCTCCTCATGGTAGTCACAGCCATGCCCCCCCTCACTCCCACCCTTCTAAGATTATACAACCTTTTAATGTTTTTATATTGTAAACTGCCCTGTGAACTTCAGATGAAGGGCAGTATAGAAATTTAATAAACAGTAATAATAAAACAAGAACAGTCTAAGATTATATTTACCCAATAATAATAATAATAATTAGGGATGCATTGCTATAATTAGTGCAGATCTCCACATGTTGCTTTCAACAAGATCCTATTTTCCATGCACATACGTAGGCAAATGATTCAGATGCTCCAATATCTTCTTTCAGAGTGACTTAAGTTGCATTTCCCTTGAAGTTCCATTGTATATAACAGAACCTGCACACTATTGCCTTGAAACTGAGGCACCTTGTTTCAGTGTTCCTAAACGCTTAAGCTTTGGAGCTACAGAACAGCAACTCCTCAACGTTCTTCCCACGCGCTTTCTCCAAAGTGACCCTAAAAGCCAATCCTCAATGGCTGACTGACCACCATTCACTCTGATTGGCTTCAATCAGCACAAAGGGTGAGAAGGCCTTTTCTCAGTGGCTAAAAAGCTTGCCTTCTATACTAACAGAGTAGCTCTAGGACACAGGAGTCAGGGCCCCTGCTGTAGAAACTGTCGCAGGTCTTCAAGCCTCCACGACCCTGGACTGCTGCAAACAATGTACTTCAGATTAAATCGGCTTTATTCGTTTATTAAAAAACCCTTATCTACTGCTTTTTATTTAGAAAAAAATATATTAAAGCAGTTCACAACAGGCGATCCAAAATCCGATTAAAACCAAACCAACAAAAAGCAATTGAAATCTGGTAAACAAACTATACAATAGCACGGCTGCAATAACCACAGTAATCAAACCAGCAAAAACTGTTCTGAAGAGTTAGGAAATGCCAGGGTAGGAAATATCACACCATTACTGACTGCCTGATCTTCACTAGTTCATTCTACATAGTGCAGGGCCTATGTATGGTCCTCTGTGTGTTGTTGGAACAAAGGAAGCTGCCTCATACGAAGACAAACCACTGGTCCAGCTAGCTCAGTATTGTATATATTGACTGGTAGACACTCTCCAGGATTTCAAGCAGAAGTCTCTTCCAATCCTACCTGGGAGATGCCAGGGATTGAACCTGGGAGCTTCTGTTACAAGGTAGCTGCTCTACCACTGAACCATGGCCCTGCCCTACAACTATCAGCCTCAACAATTGGCCACGCTGGCTGCAATTGATGGGAGATGAAGTTCCACAGCACCTGGAGGACCAAAACTCCCCCACCCCTGACACTGTGGGTGCCACAGTGGAGAAGGCTCTTCCCAGGACCCCAAACACTCAAACCTCAGCTCAGGGCAGCATTCTTCTACCTTGGGAACCCAAATCTTTTTGAACCACACCTTCTTCTACCTCCAGTCACCTCGCTCCCTGCACCTTGTGCCTCTCCCTCTCAGAAGCCAGCCGTGATGCTGTGTTGGGAAGGCAGGTCAGCAACCCTGTCCTCCCTGTGCCACCCCACCAACTGCTACTGGAGCCATTTAAGGCAGTGGAGCTTTTATTGAACTTGAGTAGGCTTTACTTCTGAGTAAAACAGAAGGCTTGCACTGTTAATAGGTTCAATGAGGTATGTGGAAGCTTTTTCCACCCGGAAGGCTGCATTTTCCTTGGTTATGCACTGCCTATCCACATGCAGACTCAATTCTCCCCAGACCACGACTGAAAATTTAGTTAATTTTAAAATTAACCAGAAATTAAACGGATTAACAGCAAAGTTCTACAGGATCATAGGAAACTGTTATATTGAACCAGATTACCAGTGCATCTAGCTCAGTTTTGTCTACAGACAGGCAGCAGCTCTAGGATTTCAGACAGGGAGCCTTTGCTGGCCAGTAGCAACTGAAGGTGGGACCTTCCGCTTGCAAAGTAGGTTCTCTGCCATTGAGCCACCGTCCTTCCCAATAAGCCCCATCGAATTCAATGGAACATCCTCCCAGGTGAGTAAGGAATTGCAGCCTAAAGATCCAAAAGTATGGAATTGGAAATTTCCAAAGAAAATATGTACTTTTAATAGACTTATACAAACTTGATATACTTACTGACAATCTTAATGTACGTACTGTACTTATAAAAAACGGCAGCTAGCAAGCACAACACAGGATTCTCTCTGTTCCCTTTCTTATGCAGGAGGGACTACCTCTTCCAAGATGCCTCCAGGTCACATAAGAAGCTGCTGAGACACACCATTGGTAGTCCATGTTGTTATTATTATTATTAATTGAATTTATATACTGCCCAATACCTGGAGGTCTCAGGGCGGTTCACAGAACAAAATCAAAATATAAAACCACAAATATCTATAATCAAAATAAAAACAACAAACCATTATCACTCCCCACCCCCAATGCCTGCATTACCAAAGAAGGAACAGGCTTTTCTGCTTCAGAGATGCTGCTTGAGTCTGCTAAGTGACTCAAGCGCTTGTGAATAAGTAAATTATACTGTTTGCAGCTTTCGCTGTTGTTTATTTGCAGGGACCTGCAAAGGGAAGGCTCCACCTTAAGGGTGCGACGAAGGTCCCTGGAGCTGACGCGGCTCCTGCTCAGGGACCGCCCGTGAAGCCTTTCCCAAGCGACGGAAAGCGCGTTAGCAGCAGCCGAGGCGAAGGTCGGAGGGGCGTTTCGAGAGGCGGCCCAGCTTCGTTCCGTCCTTCTCCGTCGCAGGGCCCGCGCATGCTCTTTAGCTGCCCTGTCGAACATGGCTTTGCGCTGGGCTTCTGCGCTAAGGCGCAAAGAGGCAGCCAAGTCGCTGCTCCTCTTGCGCGGGGCGCAAGGAAGCTCTCCTCGCAGCCGGAGCAGCAGCGCTGCCGCCGTGGCCGGGTCCCCCTCCGGAGACCACCTAATATACACGCAGGAGCATTTCGCCTTGAGGGAGTCTCTGAGAAAGGTATTGCGGGCCGGGGCGCCTCGGCCTCACCTACCGCCTCGCCTCTTCTTGTTGTTTTTTGTGTGCAGTGAATTGGGCGCTGGAATCCGGCAGCCGCATCCAGACCGCGCATTGAATACAACACGGTACCGCTTTAAACAAGTCACGGCTTCCCCACCCACCCAAAGAATTCTGGGAGATGTAGTTTGTGAAGGGTCCCGAGAGTTCTTAGGTGACCCCCTGTTCTCAGAGAGCTACAATTCCCAGAGTGGTTTAACAGGCATTCTCTCTTCCTGGGGAACCCTGGGTGTTGTAGTTCTGGGGTAGGATCAGGGGACTCCTAGCAACGCTCCACTAACAGACTACATTTCCCAGGATTCCTTGGGGGGCTACATGACTGATCATGGTTCTTTCTATAGTGCAGATGTGGTTTTACTGTCACCGGCTGCAGACTCCCATTTGGTGCTGTGAAAGCAGTGGGGCTTTTCCCCTGTCCTGGCAGCCTCTGCTCTTAGCTTCCATTAGGCCCAGCCAGCATGGTCAAGAACCAGGGATGATGGGAATTGTAGTCCAGCAACTTCTGGAGGTCCCCACATTGGCTAGAACAATCTCCACAGCACAGGATAGTAGCATAACAGGCTATCTACACCTAGGGAAATTGCACGAGTGTTTTATTGAGTTTTTAAGTTGGGCTTTGAGTTCTGAAAAAGAAAAAGAAAGTCCTGAAGCTGAACAGGGATAACATGAGGTAGCGATGCTTTGTTCACAGTGCCACGCAGACACCCTTTAAAAACCAAGCAAACTGTGGACCTAGGCGTGGAAGCAGCCGGGCTCTGGTGCAGGGTCCAGAACTATAAGACAAAGAGTCACTAGCTGGGGTAACTGAAAATGCAATGCTGGAGAAATATGTTCCTACTGCCAGCATTCTGAGTAGCTGCTCCAGTACTGGCATAATTTGTAGATGGGATTAGAAACAATTGGGATAATAGTTGTGGCTCAAAGGAGAAACTGCACCACCCTGATTACTGAGCCCTGGGCGTGCTTTGGGATTTGTTTTCATTATAATCTACAAGATTATAATCAAATAGTATTAACTAATATGTCAAGCATTTGCAGTTATTAATTTTTTTGTTTCCTGATACTTTCAAAAGGTTGGGGAATAGTATTTTAACTCAGTAATGTGTTCCTGTGTGACTGGATGTACACTGCAGTATTTTTAGCATTGTAAGGCTGCGATCCTATACTAACTTTGGGAGGAAGTTCCCTTGAAGTCATTGGGACTTAACTTCTGAGTTGACATGTATAGGATTGGTTTGTAAGGAGGCAGCCACAAGTCTACTATCTTTCTGCCTAAGCACTAGTGTTGCTTGTTTTAAAATAAAAGGTGAGGGAGGTAAGACTTATGGACTGAGGATCTTTGCTTATGATTCTGGTGCTCTAGTTATTCTGAGTAGGAACTGTAGGTATCCTGCCTGGGAACACTGGATTGTACCAACACATGCATTACTGCTGCCTGGGAAAATGCAAATATTGCTGATGCTTATCTGGGTATGATGGAATCTTGGTCTCCTTCACCAAGTGGAAAAACTAGGTTTACAGGACCTGTTTCATGTTGTCTTTCCTTAGGTATACTGTACTTTTGACCAGTGCACGAGCCAGGGTAATCATTTAGCTTCCTTCACTTCTTGCGAGCCTTTCAGCAAGCATGCAAGACTAGAGATTTCTCAGGCTATCTAGGGCAGCAGGTCTCAGACTCTGCAGCTATTGAGGTGCAAGAGGGAGGTGTTGGCATGCTCCAGAAACCTTGGCTATGGCTTGTGGTTAGGGAGCTTAAGCAGAAGCCCACAAGCTCAGCATACTGAGCCAAACCTTGGCTTAGCTCAGTGCAATGCAGAAGTTAAAAAAGAAGAAGAAAGAAAACAGACCAGGTAGGAGCAGAGCAGCTTTGAACTTCTCTCTGGGAACCTGCGTAGTCCCAGTGAGCCATGGTTTGGCTTACCGTTATATGTGAAACAGGCCACTGCACCCTTTTCTGACTAAACTACAGTACTTCAGCCTCTCTGTGGAGGGAAAGAAACTCTTAATTGTGCCAGAGGCAGGTCACAGAACACATGTCTGAACTCTGAATAAGCCTTTCTGCTTCAATAATACTTCGGCCACAATAAATACTTTTTTTGGCTTGCCTCTTAGAACCTTCCTGTGGACATTAGTGAAACACAAGGGATGTTTATTACTACTATTGGCCGAAACCATTGTCCTCTTGTCTTATCTTCCCTGCCCTTGCAAACTGAGAGAGAAGGTGCTCTGCAATCTTGTTTTGATTGTGCTTCTCTGCTAAATGAAAGAATCAAAAAGTATTTTACATTCCAAAAGAAGAAGAAGAAAAAAGGGGAGATGATCTGCTAGCATTATTATTTTTGAGAAGCCACATTCAACAATATTAATCTTTGAGAAGGTCAGTGAAGTTTAAAACACTGGTGTGTCCAATTAGAGCATGTATTCTGGTTAAGCGAAGGAATCCAGTATTTGAGCTTCCCCTAGAAAGAGATAAAGCAAGACTGGACATGGTAGGAGTTGCTTTAGTTCACTTTGTTTCTGGTGATTCCATAAATGTGTGACATGATTCACATAGATGGGACTGAGCTAAAAATGGCTGGGGAAGGAATGATGTTGCCGCGTTTCCCCCCTTCCCGTCACCTCACTCTGTCAGCACAACAAAGGCACAATACATGCAAGTACATTTTACGTCCTTCTTAGACCCAATCACACTGTGGTATTTGTGGTATTTGAAGGAATTGCTGTGACATGTTTGACGATAGCAGGCTCATAAGCCTGTGAAGAATTGACTGTGGCATGAGAAAGGGCCTTTTTGATGGGTGGTGGATGTGGGATTGAGGGGATGGAACCCTCTAGCCTGGGAGGCTTAAAAAGATACCACATTTATACCCTACCTTTCCTTGTAAGAGCTCAAAGTGGCATACAAACTTCTCCCTCTCTTCACTTTATCCTTGCAACAACCTTGTGAGGTAGGTTTGGCAAAGAGACAGTGATTTGGCCCAAGGTCACCTAGTGGGCTTCATGGCTGAGTGGGGATTTGAACTCTGTTCTCCCAGGTGCTAGTCCAGCACTCTAACCACTACTCCACACTGGCTTTTTTTACGTGCCCACATTATAGATGTACTGTCTTGCAATCAAGACTGTACTATCTTCTATTCCCGGCTTGCTGTAGTACTTCAACAGATTATTCAGCTGCATCATGATGATTTTCTGATTGTGTTTCATTATATATTGTTTTTACATTTTGCTAGCTCTTTCGAAGGATCATACAAATGGAAAGCAACATATAACTTTTAATATAAATAAATAGTTTTAATCGGATAGGCCCAAGGAACCTGTCCTGGAGAATAGAATAGAATAGACTTTATTTGCATAGCCAACAGGCCATTGCACCTGTCCTGGAGAGTAAAAGTTATGAGAGAAAACCTAAGACCTCAGTGCAGTTCCCAAAAAGTGGAGAGGTTTTATGGCAGGTGAAATCTGCAGGCTTTTGTGGTTATCCAAGACACTCTCTGGGTCAGATTTACAACAGAGTACTCATTCTCTATATAGTATGGAACTGCTGTGTTTTTGAAGGAACTAAACACAATGGCCCAACAGCCCTGTTGCTTTTTCCATTTAATAAATTAGGATTAGGACTGCAGTTGCAGGTGATTCCCTCTAATTTATGTGTATGTTGGGCAACAGTGAGATATTTTTGTTTGTTTAGTCATTTAGTCGTTTCCGACTCTTCATGACCCCATGGACCAGAGCACGCCTGGCACTTCTGTCCTCCACTGCCTCCCGCAGTTTGGTCAAACTCATGCTGGTAGCTTCGAGAACACTGTCCAACCATCTCGTCCTCTGTTGTCCCCTTCTCCTTCTGCCCTCCATCTTTCCCAACACCAGGGTCTTTTCCAGGGAGTCTTCTCTTCTCATGAGGTGGCCAAAGTACTGGAAGCCTCAGCTTCAGGATCTAATATGCAGCACCTGCATATTTAGGTGGAAATCCTATGCCCACTTAACCTGGAAGTAAGCCCTATTGAAGTTAATGGGACTTACTTCCATGTAAACATATGTAGGATTATACTGTTGGTTGACAAGGGAAGCTTAAAGGGTTTGGTTTCCATTGTTCTGAACGTGAATAGGGATGGTACTGTAAGCAGTTTTTAGTGCCTTCTATTAGAATTATTCCCAGACTTTATAATAAATGAAAATATGCTGTATTGTGAAGTGAATTCAAGAAATTACTTTTAAAAGATCCTTTTAAAGTGATTATCATCTTGATTATTGGTATAAGTAGCAAAAATAGCTATCGTCTCGCAGTCATTGATCTTAATATTAGCTTTTAAAATTGCCCTGTTATCATTAAAGAACTATGTCTGGCTCTTTGCTCATTCTTTGCTCCTATCTTTCTCCTCATTAATTAAAGAGCAGTCTTCATGAATTATTTTGTCATGAGGCTATGAGGAAGTCTTTCCCTTGCTGTCTCCCGCTGGCATTATAGGCACTGTTAATATAATAACTCAAATGTGCTCTATTTATTAGGTCCCAAAATGTAATTAAGCACCATACTGGTCGTATTAATATATACAGGAGCTAAAGTGGATATCACAGTTATGGATAATACTTAAGGGATTAATTAATTAGGCTACATCTGCATCTTAGAGCTAAAGCACTCTTACTCTACTTTAACAGTCAAGGTTTCCCTCAAAGAATTCTGGGAAATGTAGCTTTTTAAGGGTGCTGAAAGTTGTTGAGTGATTTCTGTTCCTCTCACAGCCATACAATTCCTAGAGATTTATGGGAAGGAGGATTGATTGTTAAACCACTCTGGAAAATAAATTCTGTCTACAGTTAGTAGTACCTAATTTTGGACAAGAGAGTGGACTTGTAAAAAAACAGTTGCTGCTTTTAATTTCCATTGCAACCTAAAAACTGACCTTTAATCAATAACTAAGGTCACCAGACTGTGTATTTTAAAATCTTTCTCAGATGATTTTAAAGCCTTGCACAGATTACCCCATGCTTGGCTTATGATCAAGGGAAGATTTCATTAAGGCCCACTAAGTAACTCCTCCCAACCTAGCAGTTCGAAAGCACGTCAAAGTGCAAGTAGATAAATACGTACCACTCTGGCAGGAAGGTAAATGGTGTTTCCGTGTGCTGCTCTGATTCGCCAGAAGCGGCTTAGTCATGCTGGCCACATGACCCAGAAAAACTGTCTGCAGACAAACGCCAGCTCCCTCGGCCAGTAAAGCGAGATGAGCACTGCAACCCCAGAGTCGTTCACGACTAGACTTTACGGTCAGGGGTCCTTTACCTTTACCTTTTAAGTAACTTGTAACAGAGATGTAGGGCAATTGGTATAAAGGAAGCCGATCCAGTAGGCATGGTTCTCTCTCCCCCCCCCCCCCAGATTGAGAGCACCACCTTTGCCGCAGGAATTGTGTATAATTCTGTATTGTGGCAAATAACTAATCATGAACAACCACACGTTCTTGTGCATGCATGTGAATGAGCACAGAATTTCATTCAGGTGGGTTTGCTAATTTCTCTTCAATATTGGTTAATGCTCCAGGTTTGTAGAGTAGATCTTGAGATGGAAGAGGGTGGAGCATCTTTTGCCTTCATGAAGCATAAGCCAAAGTTTGTGATCCAGCTATCCTAGTACAGTTGTACCTTGGAAGTTGAATGGAATCCGAACATTTCCAAAATGTTCAAAAACCAAATCACAGCTTCTGATTGGCTGCAGGAAGCTCCTGTAGCCAATCAGAAGCCATGGAAGCCCCGTCAGATGTTCAGCTTCCAAAGGAACAGTCACTTCTGGGTTTTGATTGGGAGCCAAAATGTTTGAGAACTAGGCTGTTCAACTTCCAAGGTACGGCCGTATTAGAATCTACAGTGCTTTATGGCAAGATAATGTTATCAAGTTGCAGTAGTTTGTATTTCCTCCCTGATATAGCCTGGTTTAGAACTTCTACTCTGTATTTGTTTGCTCTTGGGGACCATTTGGAGGCCATGACTGATGCAGAATGCTGTGGGACAGCTGCTGATGGCGTCTATGTTTTCATATAATATGAAGATTCAAGATATTCATCCATGGTGTAGTCACCAGTCACCAATTCTGGGCTTCTTGTTTTTGTTTTTCTCTTGGTTTTCCAGTATGGAATCTTCCACTTTTGCCCCAAAGGGAACTTTTCACAGACCTATTTTTCCCAGCATGAAAAATGAGGTGCCAAAGGTGATCTCATGGTAATTTTCACCATATTAAAAAATGGTTTTGTACCTTGACTCATTCTAGGCAGAACTAGATGGGACAGTAGTAAACATGGAGTTGGCCTAGGTGACACCAGTTGACACCTTACAGCTGAGGTTAATAATACGCAGCCAGAGGCTAACTCATAAACCAAAAAGACCCCACTGATTTTGGCAATAGTGGCAGCAAAATAAAAATAAAAATAGCCACAGTACTCTGACGGGAATGTGAGTTGCTCCTCCCCAGTCACCAGATTGTTCATTTAATGAGAAGGAAGGAGCAGTAATTCTCTTCCTTATTTGATTTGCATGGATCAGTTGAGGGGGGTACTGTGTGTGAAAATGTTTGTGGCCATACCTACTGTAGGTGTGTAGCCCCTCCGCAGGGTGAATGCAGCCCTTAGGCCCAAACTTATGAGCTATCCTGGCTTACAAACATGATGGAGAAAACTACTCTGCTAACTGCTCTCTTGGCTTTTATAGACTTCAGAGAGCAGCTGTTTTATACCTGCCGGCTGTCCCCCCGCCCCCGCCCCCGTAGTCCCAGATACAGATGTATGTAGAAAGCAACTTTTATTTGTACTGTGTTCCGTACACTGATTGTGGAGGCAGGTTCACTAGGATGAACAGGGCACTGTCTGCCACCAGCCTGTGTCCTTCCTTACAACTAGTTCAAGGGATGGCACTGACTGTCAGCTTCCTCCATTTCTCAGTGTTGTCCCTTGTAGAACTCAATAGGGAGGGGAGGGACAAAATCAGAATTAGTTGGATTTGCCTGTCATTTTCTCTGGCGCCACCTACTGTTCGTCTCCCTGCCTCCCACCCTACCAGTCCAACAGGCACCAGCCGCCAGCGAGTCTTTCTAAACTCCAGGTACTGTTAACCTGCAGTTCAGTACGTGCACACACATAAAATAACAATCTGACTGTCTGGAATGTGTATATTTATATATATCCATGGTGGAAGCCTGCAAGGAGTTGATACCATCACTGGAAAAGGAAGCCCAGGACTCCTTTTGTTTGTGCTGATTACAAGGCAAACACTTGGCACAGACGACAATCATTAATAACCCTGTTTAATCCATTTCAAGAATGTCACGTTAAAGGAGTGGTATAGGGAGTATTGACAAGAAAACACCATATTCTTCTGAACATCTCTAGAGAAGCTCTACATAGATTTGTCAACACGTGGCAGTTTAGAAAGTAGATGTGTTTACTTCCAGATTAAATGGTTGCCTATTTTTGCACCATGAGATTTCCTTATTTTCCTGGTGAGGGGAAAAAGATTAAAAAACACACCTCTTTTGTGATAATGATTTTGCATTCATCTCTCTGTCTTGCTTCAGCACATAGCCAGTTTTCACGACAAAACTGAACAGAAAAGCAGTAACTTTCTTATAAAAAAGACTAACATTTCTATCAGATGTATATGAACTAATTGTTGTGAGGATAAAATGAGATGTAGTGGTAGAACTACAAATGTCATCTTTAGCTCTATGGAGGAAAGGCAGGATATAAATAAAGGTGCTGGTCAGCAATTAAGGCTTGTTCAATCTTCTTACCGAAAATCGAGTTGCTGCTATAAGCAGATTTCAAGAAACCTGTTAAAGAATGTTACAATGGTATGTTTCTCTCTCTCTCTCTCTCTCTCTCTCTCTCTCTCTCTCTCTCTCTCTATATATATATATGTATATATTAAATGGGATTCAATTTTGCAAGTGGAACCTACAACAAAACGTTGCAGTATGGAGTGTTCAGCTTTCCAGCCATGCCATTCCTGTCTCACTTTCCAGTTTTCTGTCTCTCTGTCCCTGTCAATCTGCATTCTGTGACCACTCAGCCCAGTGTTCCATTTGGCTGATGGGGGTTTTGTGCCTTCTTAGGATTCTTACCCCCAAAATATTTTATGTAACCTTGGGGTTTCACAAGCCTGCTGACACCTCTTCCATGTGTGAATGTGTTACAGTGTTGGCCATATAAGCAATGACACCTAGCCTCAGAAACAGGGGAAATGATTTCAAAGTTCACTGACAAAGTATACTCTACTGCACATGAGTCAGTAACTCATTTCCTGCAAACTTTGGTGCGTCATCTGAATATGTAACCTGAATGCTGACTTGCATACCTCTGCCATAGTTTTAGCTGTTTGTAATAAATTGTTCTTTTTTTCTGACAAAAAAAAAGTTTTCCTTCACAAAGGATTCACAAAGGAGTGTGTGAATTTCTGTTTTTCCCCAAAGGGAACTTAGCTGGAAGTGGGGAAAGAGCTGCCATTTGTCCAGCCCTCCAGCAACCTTCACCCATCTGTTGCCCTCCAGATGCTTTGGACTACAACTCCCATCAGCCCCAGCCAACACATGGAGGCTAGTCCATTAGGGAAAAAGGGGCCTATCAGCTTTCCCCTGCTTAGTCTCCACATTGCCCTTGTAGAACTCAGTGGGGAGGAAGAGGGGCAAACTTAGAATAAGTTGGCTGTGGCGCCATCTACTGTGGGGCTCCCTGCCTTCTGCCCTACCAGTCCCAGTGGGCACCAGCCAACACTGTCTACAGGATGCTGTTGATTTGAATTGAAAGCGTGGTTAAGATGAGGGAAATCTCCCAAGAACTGGAAAAGTCAGCTGTCCTTAGGTGTTAACAAAGTGCTTTGCTTCAGCTTAAGATGAGAAACCTGACACACAAACCCTGCCACAATCTCATTTAAACTGTAGCATCTGGTGTTAAGCCTATTTAGGCCCACTGAAGCTAATCGGACTCAGCCAGGCCAAATAGCACAAGCTTAACTTTCCGAACTCTTGTCTCTCCCCTCTCCCCCCCCCCCTTCTCAAAATACAGATTATTGACAAAGAAATCAACCCATTTGTGGACAAATGGGAAGAAGAGGGACAGTTTCCAGCACACCAAGTTTTTAAGACGCTGGGGAAAGCTGGATTCCTTGGAGTGAATAAGCCAACTGGTAAGAAATAGTCTTAAGTCTCTACTTTTAATGTAAAAGGCATGTTCTGGCCTTTAAAGGGCTTGTTTCAGAGATTTACCAAAGCTGTTTCTAAATTAATCTCAATAGCTATTTGTAAATCCATCTCATTTAGAACATTTTAACACCGGGGGGATTTCACCAAGATACATAGCAGTTTCCCCCTACCCTCCCGATCACAGGTGTAATTTGCTCTGGGTGTATTCCGGGACATGTTTAATTTATTCTTGCAGAGCCTCCTTACACATTTGAATGAAGAGTCTGACTTATGAACCACTGTACCAGCAAACAGGTGTGTAGGATGAGAATCAAAGTTCCTTGTGGTCAGTCTTAACATAATTGCCTTATGTGAACTGACTGCATCATAAAATTTAATGCAACAACTGGGAACGGCAACAGAACGTTGCAGTGCTGTTCAAGGTGCCAGCCAAGCTCATCAGTACCATTTCTTTTTCTCTCCTGTCTTTCCCCCCTCCCCTTCCCCCAATGGTCAGTCAATATTTTATGGTTACTGAGCATGCTTAGGTTTGGGGTTGTTGTTTTTTATTTAAGGGGTTTTGTACATCTGAAAAACTTGGGGTTTCCCTGAGATTTGCTTATACCTTCTCTGTGTGTGGTGCTATTTTGTCTACATAGGGATTGGACAATGTGATCACCGTGTCAACCCCATAAATCTGAGGATGGTTTCATCATAGGATTTAGGGTTGCTGCACAGATCCATTACACAGCACAGCATAGAAAAGGACAAGGACTAGGGATGCACCAGACCTATAAAACACATGTCAAAGAGAACAACAACTACCAGACTTTTAGACGACATCTGAAGGCAACCCTGTTTAGGGAAGCTTTTAATGTTTGATGCATTACCGTATTTTAATATTGTGTTGGAAGCCACCCAGAGTGGCTGGGGAAACCCAGCCAGATGGGTGGGGTATAAATAATAAATTACTACTACTACTATTACTATTATTATTATTATTAATTGTATTATTATTCTTATTTATTATATTACCCTCAAATAATTAGGGGAATTGTAGTTCACACATACCCCACAGACCTACAATTCCCAGTACCCTTTAACAAACTACAGTTCCCAGGGTTCTTTGAGAGAAGAAATGTATTTTGAATGTGCTTTAAAGGTCTGGTGTATATACAGCCAAAGGTAGTTCATTAGGGATAGATCCAGGAGAACATGTGTTGTTGCCAAGTTACATTTTTCACCTTAAGGTCAGAAGGACTGCTAACTTTGAAAAAGAGCCATTGGTTTGCTCTGCCTCAGGTTTTTGTTTTTTGTTAAAAACAGACCTTTAAATTTGTGGCAGGACACCTTGTAAAATTTGGACGAAAGTGGACTAGGCCAAGAATTCAAATCACTTGCCAATTTTGTCCTAGGGTCTGCTGTCATATCTCTGTTGAAACACTCAAGTAATAATAATAATAATAATAAATTTTATTTATATCCCGCCCTCCCCAGCCGAAGCCGGGCTCAGGGCGGCTAACAACACTAAAATAGTGCAACATTATAAAACATCATAAGAATTAATTAAAATCAAAATTGATGGCAACCATAAACTAAAGTATTGTAAAGATTGCCAAAGGAGGGAGTCAGGCTGTGCCCTAACCAAAGGCCTGGTGGAACAGCTCTGTCTTGCAGGCCCTGCGGAAAGATGTCAAGTCCTGCAGGGCCCTTGTCTCTTGTGACAGAGCGTTCCACCAGGTTGGAGCCGCAGCCGAAAAAGCCCTGGCTCTAGTTGAGGCCAGCCTAACCTCTCTGTGGCCTGGGACCTTCAAGATGTTTTTATTTGAGGACCGTAAGTTCCTCTGTGGGGCATACCAGGAGAGGCGGTCCCGTAGATACGAGGGTCCTAGGCCGTGTAGGGCTTTGAAGGTTAAAACCAGCACCTTAAACCTGATCCTGTACTCCACCGGGAGCCAGTGCAGCTGGTATAGCACCGGATGAATGTGATCCCGCAGCGAAGACCCCGTAAGGAGTCTCGCTGCGGCATTCTGCACCCGCTGGAGTTCTGGGTCAGTCTCAAGGGCAGCCCCACGTAGAGCGAGTTACAATAATCCAGTCTGGAGGTGACCGTCGCGTGGATCACAGTGGCTAGGTCAGGGCGAGAGAGGTAAGGAGCCAACTGCTTAGCTTGGCGGAGATGAAAAAATGCCGCCTTTGTTATAGCTGCAATCTGCGCCTCCATGGAGAGGGAGGTATCGAAGATTACACCCAAACTCTTAACGGACGGTGCTGGCACTAATTGCACCCCCGCAAGAGATGGGAGTTGCCCCCTCAATCCCATATCGTCCCGTCCCAGCCAGAGGACCTCTGTCTTCGAAGGATTTAACTTCAACCGGCTCCCACGTAACCATCCAGCCACAGCTTCCAAGCATCTGATCAGTGTGTCTGGGGCCGAGTCAGGATGGCCATCCATCAACAGATAGAGTTGGGTGTCATCAGCATACTGATGGCAACCCAGCCCAAAACTCCGGACAAGCTGGGCGAGGGGGCGCATAAAGATGTTAAAAAGCATCGGGGAGAGAATCGCACCCTGAGGCACTCCACACACCAAGGAGTGGCGGGATGACAGTTCCCCCCCAAGCGCCACCCTCTGTCCCCGACCAGAGAGAAACGAGCGCAGCCATTGAAGGACTGTGCCCTGGATCCCCACGTCGGCGAGGCGGTGGTCCAGAAGTTCATGATCAACCATGTCGAAAGCTGCTGACAGATCTAGAAGAATCAGCAGCCCCGACCCGCCTCGATCCAGCTGTCTACGAAGATCATCTGTTAGGGCGACCAGAGCCGTCTCGGTCCCATGACCAGCGCGGAAGCCGGACTGGAATGGATCCAGAGCCGATGTTTCATCCAGAAACCTACCAAGCTGTTCAGCAACCGCTCTCTCAATCACCTTACCCAGGAATGGAAGATTCGGAACTGGGCGGTAATTGGATAGATCTAAGGGATCTAATGATGTTTTCTTTAAGAGCGGGCGCACCACTGCCTCCTTCAGTTCCCCTGGGAATGTCCCGGTGCCAAGGGACAAATTGATGATATCCCCCAGGGGGGCCCGCACCTCGTCTGGACACGCTCTAATCAGCCAAGGCGGGCACGGGTCGAGAGGACAAGTGGTGGGCTTTCCAGCTCGGAGGAGTCTGTCCACATCGGCTGGGGATATCCGGTCAAAGTGGTCCAATACTGGACCCGAGGACAGTCGAGGGGCCTCCAGTTCCTTTATTGTATCCAAATTGGCAGGGAGGTCATGGCGGAGCGACAGGACCTTCTCCGCAAAAAAGCTCGCAAATGCCTCACAGCTGTGTGTCGAATTGTTATTTAAATTTGGCTGTCCTTCGAGGGACGTTAAAGACCGAATTATACTAAATAATTGTGGCCGGGCGAGAGCTAGCGGATGCAATGGAGGCCGAGAAGTAGGACTTCTTAGCGGCCTTCACTGCCATCTCGTAGGTTTTCATAAAAACCCTATAAGATGTTCTTGAGGCTCCGTCACGGGCACCCCGCCATACTCGCTCTAGCCGTCTGAGGTCCCGCTTCATTTTCCGGAGCTCCTCAGTAAACCAGGGAGCCCGGTTTCTGCAGGGTCGCAGAGGGCGCTTAGGTGCGATCTCATTGATGGCTGCCAGGAGCTGGTATTCCAGCCCTCAACAAGCTCAGTCAATGAGTCGCCAGGGGGAGAAAGGTCCCGCAAGGCTTGACGGAATCTATCAGGGTCCATCAGCCTCCGCGGGCGAGCCCAAATCGGCTCACCACCTAAGCAGGGTGGGGGTGGAACGTCAATCCTGGCTTTCAGAGCGTAGTGATCAGACCATGGCACCTTCATCGAAGGAAACATGATCACATCTATACCGACGCCAAAGATCAGATCCAGCGTGTGGCCTGCTTGATGTGTGGCGCCCGAAACAAACTGGGAGAGCCCTAGTGTCGCCATGGAAGACACCAGGTCCAGAGCCTGTGAGGAGGGAGTGGCATCGGCATGGATGTTGAAGTCCCCCAATACCAATAGGTTAGGGAACTCCAAGGCCCAGCCGGCCACCGCCTCCAGCAGGCCTGACAGGGTGGCTGCTGGTGCGCTAGGTGGCCGGTACACCAGACAGACAGCCAAGCTCACCTCGGAGCCCACACTAGGCCAACACATTCAATGCCGGGGATCGATGGCGGTGGTAGAGCCCTGAAAGAACAATCTTCCCGGATTAATAGTGCCACCCCTCCCCCCGGCCCACAGTCCGTGACTGGTGGAGGACGGAAAAACCCGGGGGCGCCATCTCTCGTAAGGTAACAGTATCCCCTTCGCGCACCCAGGTCTCCGTCACACAAGCCAGGTCGACCCCCTGCGAGATGATGAAATCTCGCAGGGTGGCGGTTTTGTTGCCTATAGACCTGGCATTGCACAACACCAGTGACGGAGGTGAGTAATTCAGCATAAAATAATAATAATAATAATAATAATAATAATAATAATATAATAAATAATAATAATATTTAGAAAAAGTAGAAATTGAGAGAGAAATAACTTCTTGCTCTTACCTTGGGAAGATTTTTTTTAATCCTTAGTAGCTTCTGAAAGAGAACTAGAACTAGTCTAGTTACTAATTTTTTAGTAAACATACTTTGAATCATAGTCAGGCTTGAAAAGATACAGAATCCACGAAAAGCAAATGAGGCATAATTGCATGGTTCACATCTAGTTCTGAGTAGTTATATGTGAGCATTTGGTCATTCCTGTTTAAGAAATGCACTTTTTAAAACCGAATTGCAGAGTTAAATGGAACAAAAGCTTGGTAATGTATCACTTATCTTGTTTTCTTTTTTTCGTCTGCTGCTGGTTTTTTTTTTTTTTAATGCTGAGCTTTTAGCATAAATTGAACATGGGCTTCAAAATGCACTGCATATTTAAATTGCACAAGATTGGACTTCTTTTATTATCCTACAGCTTGGGTCACATCTCTAGCTGTGTGCTGGATGGCATTTC